CACTGAGCTCACATTATCATCAACACACTGATTCCTCTCTGCTACCCAGTTATTTCCTGTTCTGCTTTTCTCTGCAGCCTGTGCATGCATCATTAGTGCAGCTCTTCTGCTGTCAAATATTCACCTTTTGACTCCAGTCGATAAACATCAGATTTCTTATTTTCTGAATTCAGATACAAATGTGACAATTTGTGTTAGACATGCTGATTTTTGATGGCAGAATTTTTTAAAAACATCTGTAATTGGAGCGTCCATCTTTGATTACCTCATCTTCCTTCGTCTCATCCTGATTAGAGCGTCTTTGAGATTCGTCTCAGAACGAGGTCCTCATTTGGATCATGCAAGCCTCGCCGCAGATGTGGCCGACGCCTTCTTTTCTCTTATGTGAAGCGCAGAAGCAAATAAAATCTGCACACCAGACCCCGCCGGCGTTTTTACTAATTCATCTGCAGAAATGATTAAAGGATGAAGGTTGGGTGGTAGCTGCGGTGCTCTTCTGTACCCCTACCTAAGTGTGATGTTTTCCTTTTTTCGGCGGAACAAAAATGAAGCTGAAGCAGTAACTTGAGAAAAATTTATTCTCTTCAAGTATTTGGTACATTTTTCCTACAAGTCTGGTCATCAGGGACAACACGTAACCGGGCTGTGGATAAACACCCTGAGCGTTTCTGTCACTCGGACGCCAACAGCTGTACGACCGTCTACTCCGTCTCACATGTCCTTTGGTCGCACGGCCATCGTTGTCATGACAACAGGCTTATCTCCTGTGGACTGAACCGTGCTCCTGAGAGGAGCAAGTGTGTTTGTGTGATGGATGTGAAGATAGAGTGTGTGCAGCAAAGTGTGAGGGACGTGTTGCATGGAAGGCCTGTAAAAAGACCCAGCATTCCTACATGGAGGGCACTTGGTCTGCCACCTAGCGCCGTCAGCACTGAGAAAACCCTGACAGAGCATGTGTTGAGAACAACTCTCAGCTTCTATGGCACCAAACTTTGGCTCAGTGTCTGTAAAACTACCTCTGTTGTAGCCACTTTTGTGTTCCCAATGGTTGACCGGGCTGTGGGAGCCATCTTGAATTTGGCTGACTCCAAAAGTTGTAACAAAATAGATATTGCTAATAGATATTCTTGGTTGGATCCAATGGCAAATGGCTAACTTAATGGCAAAGTTTAAGCTTCCATGTTAAATAAATGTTTCACGTATGTGTTGAGTTTGCTCTCAGCTACTGCAATACCATGTTTGATGTTTACTTGTGTAAAACTGACAGAGGTTTAGCCATTTTCCTGTTTTCTAAAGTCAATTACCTTGGGCGGCCATCTTGATTTGGTAGACATCTAAAAGTGATCTATTGTGTCAAAGTTTGAAACCATGATCATCTGGGATCAAGTAGTTCTTGAGCTGATATTGGGGCGACTTAGCTACCATGGTACCGAACCTTAGCTGGGCTGAGTTCAAATGATAAATGACCCACATGTGTATAGTGCCTCTCAGTCATAGGACTCCAAAGTGCTTTACACTACTCTTCTGTATATTCGTTCTGTGTGGTCATTCATAATTATCTTCTCTTTTCTTACTTAACACAGGGAAGTAATTAGATGCTTCTATACCTTCGGCTGACATGTTTCGCCAGCTGTTCGTGGCGTCACTTCCGTTTATGTGCGGGCAGCAAAGGACGATGTCGCCATCTGTGATTTTGTTACAAACCATTTAAAAAAGACCCTAGAGAAGAAATCAAAAAGAACATGAATAAAACGTTCAAGCCATTAAAGCAGCTTTACGGAGATTTCCCCTTTCACAAACGATGTATGATTTTTCAGAAATCCGTAAAAGTGATTATCTCGTCATGTACTGTGATAAAATGTAGCAATATGTCTTTTTTCTTTTTTGCTAACCACGCCCCCTGCCTCGCAGAGCTCCGTGCAATAGGAAACTGAGCGCCGACGAGAACTAACCAATAGCGTTAGACTACCGCTTACTTGCTTCAAATTTAAGGAACCTCTCGGCTGATGCAGAGTTGATGAACTTTTCACGGACAAGAAAGCCTCTAAAATATAAATATATGAAAACACAACATGACACGAGCATAATACTCGTAAAACAACGTGTTTTAGCTCCGTTTGTCGGCTACAGAGGCACATTTATAAACAGAAACGTGAAGTCGCCATCTTAAACAAACAGAGGAACAGACTTTTTGTGTGATATGCTTGTCAGCCACTAGATGGTGCCGTCGGATAAGACAAATACTCCAGAAAGAAGCTTTAATGGAAAATAGAAAAATTACAGACAACATGCGCAAACAAAGGATCCCAACAACAAACATTATACCGAGAATATATGGAACACCCAAGAAACATAAACAGGACACTCCACTGAGACCAACAGTTGGCAGCAAACAAAATGGCTAACGAAATATGCAGAATCATCATTCCACTATTAGACAAAACAGACCAACACTGCAAAAATGGCACGTAACTAGCCAACGAACTCAAAAAGATTACAATAGAGGACGGTGACGTACTCATTTCTCACGACGTCACTTCTCTGTTTACAAAAACTCCCACCCAAAAAACCATCATCATAGTAATAAACAGGATCAAACAGCACAGAACGTTACACAAAAGGACAAAGCTGAAGGCCGACGACAAAACAAGTAATAGAACTGGTAGCAGACTCCACCTACTTCACATACAAATGACTTATTTACAAACATTTAGAAGGATTTGCGATGGGAAACCAGCTTTAATTCACCCTCTGTGAATTCTTCATGGAAAACCTCGAACAAGAAGCCATCACAACCGACCCCCCCAAACCGCTAAATTAAGTTATGGAAAAGATCCGTGGACGATATATTAGAAAAAATCCCTAAAGGACAAACAGACACGCTAACATCGGAACGGTATCGAGGGCACAAACATAAAATTCACATGTGAAGAAGAAAAAGAGAACAGCAAGACCTTTTATGGACATCAGAACATCCCAGCATACACAAATGATCAGTCATCAGAACACTATATCACAGAGCTAGCATGATAACAGAAGAACAGGATCACAAACTAGAGAACCAACACGTACAAAATGCACTAAGTACCTGCCGATAGCCAATATGGGCACTAAAGAAAGGAAAACAACAGCAGAAAGAAAAGACAAACCATCAACGAGAACCAGAACCAGCAACAACCCTTCCTTACATCTAAGGCACAACAACCAAAAGGACAGTAATAAAAAGACACAACATCAACACACCAACAAAACCACATCTGACGGTCAAGAAAAGAGTGGTACACCCAAAAGACAAGATACCAGCTGGACCAAAATGCGGTGTCATCTACGAAATACCTTGTACACTCTGCAGTAAAACATCCGAAGGCGAATCAGGACGCCAAGTCAACACACGAAAAACAGAACAACAAAAAGAGAGTGAGAAAGAAACAAAACAAAGGCATCCAAGAGCAGCTAAACAGGAAGTGGAAAGTTCAGTGAGAAAATCTGCGGTAACGGACCACCATACAAAGGAAAATCACATCATGGATTGGGACAGCACACGGATCATAAATACGGAACAACAAAAATACAGAAGATGGATTAAGGAAGCGATGGAGATTAGGAGACGCAGACACAACACCGTTAACAGAGACGATGGTGTTTACATGTTGGGTCTGTGTTATCAGCGTGAAGGGTGCGGGGCGGGCAGCAGAGGGCGACATCGTCCTTTACTGCCCATAAACGGAAGTGATGCCACTGCGGCTCTGACAAGGAGGAAGTTCTGGCCAAAGCCAAAGGTAAAGAAACATCTAATTACTTCACTGTTAAATAAGAGAGAGAAGATAATTATGCTTTACACTAAGTGAATCGTTCATCCGTTCACACACGCTGGTGGAGCCATGTACGTATAAAGTGAGTCAGCTGTAGCGGTCCTCCTGAACCCTAACACTGTCCAGTGGTAATGAGAACACAGTTTACTCCATAAAGGTTTCCGTTCAGAAACACAACATCTACTTGATCAAGCCATGAAAATAATACATTGTAGGTCATCACCACCAGTGTGTGAATGACTCACTGTAGCGTAAAGCACTTTGGAGTCCTCTGACTCAGAAAGGCGCTGTACAAGTGCAGGTCATTTAACAATTCTGAAACTAAAGACTTTGAGTCATTTTTTAGTTTATGTCTATAGGAGTACCTCAGCGATTAGAAGAATGCTGCTACATTAATGTGTAGCGCTAAGAGGATGGTGTTCTTGAGTCCTGGACGTAAGCATTTAAGGGACTTGTGACTTGACTTGAGAACGCACGACTTGGACTCTGTCCAGACAAGGGTGTCCCCAAGCGGTGGCCAGGGGTGTCCATGGCCACCCCTAGAAAATTGACCCCACCCCACCCCCAGAAAAGCCAGTATTAACAAATCATATTAATGTTCAATCAAACCATAAATTGATCTTGTTTATTCAAGACATAATTATAAAACAAAATAAAACATTACAATTGATGAGTAAGGAAATAATCAGAATAAACAAAATACATATGTTTCTGCTGCTCACTATTTAAAAAAGTTTTTATCTCCATAGTTTTTTTAACACAGCAACTGGTGAATTTACCCAAAAAATGGATAACATTTAAATAACTGAAATGTATATTTCTGAAATGTTTGTGTTTGTAAAATTTATACGTACTGTTATTTTAATAAAAACGAATAAAGGCGCAATGCAGTACATCGCCACAGGCTAAACTCTGCCAGTGTTACCACAAGGACCAATTTGGTGTGCCACCCCAAAAATGTCTTTGGCCCCATCTGGCCACCCCATCCAAATTTTCTGGACGCGCCCCTGTGTCCAGAAAGAGTGACTTGTCAGCGGGAGATGAGCTTTCAAGGGAAATGAGGATGACTGTTACTACAATGAATGGGAGATGTGATATTTTTCAGCGTGCAGATGTGTATCGGTGGTTGAGGTAGAGGGGAGGAGTGTGTGTGTGTGTGGGGGGGGGGGGGGGGGGGGGGGAGTGTGTGAGGGGGTGAGGCAGGACTGGAGCTGCGGAGGCTGCTGCGGAGAGGGGTGTCGGGTTCCTAGCCTGAAGGCAGGTGGGATGAGGAGCAGGAGTCGGGGCTCCCTGCTTCACTGAGGGACGTTTGAGAAGAAGTTTGGAGTCCAGAGGGGGGCCTCGGTCTGACACGCACACGCACGCACACGCAGGCATCTTGAGAATAGCGGGAGGTGCATTACGTCATAGCCTCCCATCGCCCTGGATGACCGTGCGCGCAGGACGGGATGATGCTGCGCTGCTGGACTAGAAAAGGACCAGAATACACTGCTGCCGTGCGCGAGCTCCCGCGGGCGCTGTCTCGATCTGAGGGAGGAGGAGAGGAAGAGGAGCCGCCGTCGCGCGGCCGCTGGCTCTGATGGCTCCTCGCGCCCCGGGCGGGAAAGAGATACAGCAGTCGCCGCGGCGCGGGAAGGACAGCAGGTATCTGGGAAGTGACGTGGTGTCCGCGCCCCGCCAGCGAGCACCACGGTGCGGTTGTCGTGCGTTTCGCAGGAGGGCAGGAGCGGGAAGGGGAACATGGCCGCGCAGTCGGACGGCGGCAAAGCCGGGGTCGGGTTCGCCCAGCTGTACGACGTCGACGCGGACGAGCCTCTGGACTCCGCCGCGATCCACATCTGCCAGTGCTGCCGATCCTCCGCCTGCTACTGGGGCTGCCGCTCCGCCTGCCTGGGCTCCCTCGGCGGGGGCCAGCCCATCGGGGGGATCGGGATCCGGGAGACCCACTGCCCTCCCCGCGAGCAGCTGTGGCTGGACTGCCTCTGGATCATCCTCGCCCTGCTGGTCTTCTTCTGGGACGTCGGCACGGACCTGTGCCTGGCGGTGGACTACTACCAGAGGCAGAACTACCTCTGGTTCGGCCTCACCCTCTTCTTCGTGCTGGTGCCGTCGGTGCTAGTCCAGATCCTGAGCTTCCGCTGGTTTGTGCAGGACTACACCGGTGGGGGGCTCGGGGAGGTGGAGGGGCTCACGAAGCGGGGCACGGTGGTTCTGGGGTGTCTGTATCCCGGGAAGGACCGCCTGCAGCTGGTCACCATCTGGCTGTGGCAGGCCACCATACACATCCTCCAGCTGGGCCAGGTGTGGAGGTGAGGGGACTCAAGGAAGCTAGAACACACACACACACACACACACACACACACACACACACACACACACACACACACACACACACACACAGCAGACTATCTGAACCAGATTTCTCCTTGCATGGGTTCTTACTTCAAGCCTTAACAGACATTTAAGTTCATGTAAAAAAAAAAACGTCTCAAAACGATTAAATGTGACAGAAATTCAAACAAACATCCACTTTATAATATAAACTCAGACAAAATTAAGTATAAAGAGAACCATGGTTCCAAGAAATGTTTACGCTGCTGCCAGTGACTCATTAGGGTCACCATGGTAACAGAAAGAGACTCATCAAGGTCACTTTGGTGACCACCAGTAGTTTTTAAAGCTGCTTTCCGGAGTTTTCCTCCTTCAGAAATGATGTATGATTTGTCAGAAATCTGTAAAAGTGATTATCTTATCATGTCCAGTGATATAATGTAAGCAATACTTCTTTTTTTTTGTTGCTAAGTTCGCCCCTGCCCCGCAGAGCTCCATGCAATAGGAAACGAAGCGCCGACCAGAACTAACCAATAGCGTTAGACTACCGCTTAGACGCTTCACATTTAAGGAATACCTCGGCTGATTCAGAGTTGATGAACTTTTCACGGACAAGTAAGTCTCTAAAATATAAATATATGAAAACACAACATGGCATGAGAATAATACTCGTAAAACAACGTGTTTTAGCTCTGTTTGTCGGCTACAGAAGCACATTTATAAACAGAAGAGTGAAGTCGACATCTTAAAAAAAACAAAGGAACAGCGGTTTTGTGTGATCTGCTTGTCAGCCACTAGATGGTGCCATCGGATAAGAGAAATACTCCGGAAAGAAGCTTTAAGCATATGAATCTGCTTTTCTGAGTCTCTGACAACAAACTATTCCTGTGCAAAAAAGTTCTGTCAAATCAAAAAAAATCTAAAACAGGGAAGAACGGAAGGCTCGGATAGTAGTGATGGAACGTTCACGAACGAGTCAAATCTTTTTGACAATGAGAGCTGAGTCCTTGTAGAGAACTCTTCATTTTCCTCCCTCTCATGGCTCAAATGCACCGCCGCACACACGCGCGTGCGTGCGTGGCGAACGCTGTCCCACGCAAATTGATTCGCTTCGTTAAAAGGAGCCAGTGTTTTGAACGGCTCTTTGAGGCAAACTGACCCCGAATGATCGGCTCCCATCAAAAGGGTCAATTGTCCCCATCACTATCTGATGTGGGAGCGTGCACTCTCGGCTCTCTGAGGGGACTTGAGTGAGAACTTTCAGTCCTAAAGCAGTGAGAAAATTTAGGAGAAAGCAGACAAACTCATCTACTTGTAGGTGTGTAATTTGTTTTAGTGCTTGAAAATGTTAAAGAGTTCATTTGCAAAAAATTAAAAACATTTAAGTTCAACATTTTGCATCGAGAATCATAAAGCGTAAACTGTAACTGTGTAAAAAAGCAAATAAAAAACAGTTCAGGACAATAAAGCCTAACCTTTCAGTGACTCATTTAAACTTTGAATAACGTGAACTCTACCTGAGCTATCTATAAAAGGGGCGGGGTTTATTCTACCTGTTTTCCAAAATCCCATTGTTTCCTTGGGGATGTCTACATCGTACCCCATATCGTTACTGAAACTCATACTGTACTTTTACACATTTAAACTCACATTTTGATGTTTGAATTGCTTTATTTGTTCATGTTTGGCAGAAAACAGACAGAAATGTGTTAAAATGGCCAAAAATCTGCATAAAGAAACTAAGTAGCTGAGGCGCTCTCCGTGGTGCTGAATCCCATCAAAGCTTTTCCTGTGATCAGCTATACAACAGAGGTCAGACCTCCGTGTGTGTGTGTGTGTGTGTGTGTGTGTGTGTGTGTGTGTGTGTGTGTGTGTGTGTGTGTGTGTGTGTGAGGGAGAGAGAGAGAAAGAGTGGAGAAACGGTGTCACGGCTCTTCCCGTGAGTGTCAGCATGCATGGAGAGTACAAAAACGAAAAGCATCTGTGCTTCTGGCAACACATTTTCATGCAGTACACACACACACACACACACACACACACACACACACACACACACACACACACACACACACTACCCTCTCCTCCTCTAACACACACACTCGTAAACACACATTTGGAAAGGCTTAGGTGCTAATTGTTGTGCTAAAAGCGCTGTTGGGGGGAACAGAAAGACGTGTTTATTTTGTCTGCTGAACACACACACACACATACATACACACACACACACACACACACACACACACACACACACACACACACACACACACACACACACACACGAGCATATCTTTCTGTAGGGGCTGTAGTTTTTGTTTGAGTGTGTGTGACTCAGACAGCAGAAGTAGTAGTAGTAGTGATCCCAGCCCTCTTTCTGCCTCCAAGCCATCCTCTGCTTCAGTTGTAGGGTTAAACCAACCCCCTCCACCTCTCAGTGCTGCCTCACAACCCCGCGCACTCACAGAATGGACCGATTCACCTGGAAGGAGTCAAGGAGACTGAGGAGGAAGAAGGAGACTGGGTGCAGTTTGGAAGTGGTACGACCCGATTGGGACGGATCACTTCAGAGACGGAGTGGCTGTGCGGTGGGAGGGGAGAAGAGGGGACGGGATGGGAATGGAGAGGAAAAGGGAGAAGTGAAAGTGGTGGGGGTTGGAAGGGGCGGAAGGTCTGCTCGTATATTTCAGAACCACATCCTTCCTCGAGTCAAGGACAATCAGCGTTTTAGAGCTAAAACATCTCTAACAGCTGCTGTGCAGCTCTTTAGGTGTGAGCACGGTGGGAATCTTCCTACGGATGCTGCATCATTTATGAATCAACCTTGTGCTGCCACACATAATGTACTGTAGCTACGGACACACGTGGTGGGGGGTGTTTGAACTCATAAAAATACATACATGGCTACACTCTGAGTGGCTTGCTCACTGAGAGTCACATCCCCACACATGCTGCGAACCATCCAGTCCAGAACCTTTGGGATCCGACGGAACCGGAGATTCACATCACTGTGTGATGCTCCAGAACCTCCCAACGGATGTATCCAACACCCTTTTGAGTCCATCATATAGAGAATTAAGGGGGTTCTGAAGTCCAACTCAATATTTGTGAGATAGCCAACGTAGAGCCGATAGAGCTGACGATAGGAGGTCATTAAGGATTATGATGTGATGACGATCTACCAACAAACACACAGATGAAGCGATCAGAGCAAGTTTTAGGCAGCGTGTTGGTTTGTTTATCTAGGGTTCTCGGAAGGGATGCACCGATCAGGTTTTTTGCTGCCGATCACCGATACCGATATCAAAGAATGCTGATCACCGATACCGATATCAAAGAATGCTGATCACCGATACCGATATCAAAGAATGCTGATCACCGATACCGATATCAAAGAATGCTGATCACCGATACCGATCACGTGGATTGGCCAGAAATTTTCTACAACATTATAAAGAGTGCTACAAACTACATAATCTGGGAATAAAGGAAATGTAACCTAATCTAAAATGGTCTGGTTTAACCTCACGGTTATTGTGACCAAAATTAAAACGGTTTTCGGTATTATCGTGATATTTTTTTAAAACGTGCTACATTTTCACACAATTAAATAAACCCTGTATGTCAGGAATTATTGTCCTCAGTTTGTGTCTAAATTTTTCCTAAAATGTGTTATTTTGTAATTATGTTGTTTATTTGTTTACATTTTTCCCCTTTAGTCTTTAAAATACCAATAATTGCCCATAACTTCTTATTTTTTGTCTGTTTGATGTCATCATTTTAAAAATATTAGATCAGATGATACTCAGTACTCAAGTAGCCTTCTAATCAGATACTTTTTTACCCTTACTTGAGTAATAAACCCTATATCAGGAAAATATTGTCCTCGGTTTGTGTCCTTCCAGTGAGCTTTGCAGATGTGGGAAAATGTCATCAGGCAGTAATCGTTGTTAAATTCATAATTATTCTCGGAGAGAGACCAACTCTTATCTGCCCCTGGGAGCCCCGTAATGCATAGCGTCATTTCAACATGGGGGTGTCCGCGACACGGTTTATATGCAGGTAGCGGCGCTGCGGCTGCTTTATATAGCGACTCGTTGCATTCTCCCTCAACCCAAATCCTCGGATCACGCATTTTAGCTAAAACGCTAATGTTAGCTTGCCTTGCGTTGACTGTAGAGTTGTGGGTGATGGTCACGCAGATGTGTCATGAGATTTGAAGTGTTGCTGCCTTTCACAGACACTTTTTCTGCACGTACTGCAAGCAGGATAGCCGTCTTCTATAAAATCCCTCGGCATTCTTCAAATATCCAAAAAATGCCCGTACTTCCGACTTTGTCTTCTTTGAGGGATAATAAATGTCCTGGGCGCTGCCGTCTCCTCCATTGGCCATTATTTCAGCTTTAGCTTCAAGAAAGTTTTGGTTGTAAACAACAAAGTGTGCATGTGTGCCGCCGGCAACTTCAGCAGATGATACGGTGGCTGGTAAGGGTCACCGCGCCTACACCGCAGCCACGGTAATCCACCGAGATAATATAGTTTTTTAAAAACAAGACGGTTATTATTATTGTCAACCTTTTTACCGGGGTTTACCGCTACAACCCTACCTGATCAGTCTGCTTTGATCTATTTTGAAAACTCCGATCAAAACCGATAGGGGCGCTATCGTCCGATTGGGATCAAATGCCGATCCATCGGTGCATCCCTAGTTCTCGGTAGAGCTGAGGAAAATAATCTAATAATCGATGCGTTAAGATGTGGACATAAACTATTGGGAATCGTTGAAGAAGCACACCATACTATTATGGCGGCTAGCACTAGCCACTAGCTTGCAGTCATTACATGCATTGTCACATGTTGGCTCCATTAGGAAACCTCTGGGTCAATTTTCTGCTCTAAACTTTGCATTTAGCTTTGTGGCTTTTATTATTTGGGGACGTCCGTTCGTGTTTTAGCGGGCCTTTTCACCACAGCTGCCGACCGAAGCTTTGCTTATCACATCTGTGTAGAGAAACGGGCCGAACCCCGCCCCCGCGTAGTCGGTAAACAGATACGTTTTTAAACTGATGTTCTTTTTTTTTTTACTGGTAAATAACTTCCAAAACATCTGAATTATCGAAATAAAAATAAATCGTGCTATGATTTTTTTTCCATTCGGCCCGCCCCTAGGCCAACAACTGTACAACATGGTGTGTTAAGCACGGAGGTGCAGGGTTAACGATGCACTTGAACAATGATTGTTAGAAAAACACAAAACGGCTCATTTAACACCAAAAGATGTGTTTGGTTTGGTGTTTTGGTGTTGTTGACTGACGTGATGCTTCAACAGCAGTCCAGACAGAGAGCCTTCTCCATTGAGGCATGTGTCACTTTACTGCTTCCACTAGACGATTGTTCTTTGCAGTCCTGAGTCATCATGTGATTGTCTTCCCGATAAGTCAGTTGTTTTGTCTAGAAGGTGTTTGGAAATATGGCAAAATGAACGAGCATTGTCTTTAAAAGCAGTGAAACGCAAGAAAGAAAACTAATAAGCTGTGTTTGAACCCGCTGCAGGTATATCCGGACACTGTACCTCGGCGTCATGTCTCGCCGACAGAAAGAGCACCAGCGCCAGTGGTACTGGGCCATGATGTTTGAGTATGCCGACGTCAACATGCTGCGTCTGTTGGAGACCTTCCTCGAGTCCGCTCCTCAGCTGGTCCTGCAGCTCTGCATCATGATCCAGGAGAACAGAGCCGAGACGCTGCAGTGTACGTGGAGCTCAGGCCACACTAAGCAGGAGAACGTGAACGCTAGTATTTAGCTGCATTAATTCTATGTTTTCACATAGCCAACAAAGCACTCGTAATCTAGCAGCTGCATAAGCAGTAATTAGCAGTGTGCACACATCGTGCTCACTCGGTAATGTGCGGCTGCAGATGGTGCTTCTTTGGATTTCCTTGCAGGTTTGTGTTTGTCATATAAAAGAGCTCCTTCACCCTCCTCTTCCTTATTCACCCAGGATGTGCATCATCCAGGGCAGATGGCCTCCCACTGGCATTATTCATCCATATCACTTGAGAGTTTTTGTGACACTTTTATTCGGATGTGTGACTAGCACGTGGATGGACACGATTGCCGTGGGACTTAAAATATCTTCATCTTTGCAACTGCCAAAATCTTCTGTCGTGCTACGCACCACCTCTTACTTAAAGAGCAAGTCACCCCCAAATAAACTTTTTTTTGCTGATAAACTAAATAAACGAGTGTCTAATCGTGCTGCAGACACGTGTCGTCAATAATTTGGCACTTCAGTGCATCTTAGTTAAAGTTTAAATATTCTGCCTAAAACTGGCAGTGTTGTGCCGTTGTCAGGTAAAAACTCTGCACTGTATTTTAATTTAAATCTGCCACCGCTATTGGCTAAGAAGTATGCTATGATGTAAACTGGTACATTATGATGTCACAATGCTGCCGTGAGCCTGAATGTGTGTATTTGTTAGCGGCTCCGCCCTCTCGGTCTGCCAGGCAACAGCATGTGTTGCATTTTTCACACATGAAGTGGGAGTGGAGTTAGACTCTGGTAGGGGGCGACTTGCTCTTTAATGATACGTTACATTAAACACCCCAGTGAGTTCTGATCATTCTAGGGTGCGTTTCCATCATATGACGGAGAATCCTTATTTATACCCTAAACCATCAGTGTTTTTCATCTGTAGCTTGTTCTACTAAAGTCTGAGACCGTGTCCACCCAGTGGCGGCTCAGGGGTTAGTCCTGTAATTGTTGGATTGTGGTTATAACCCCCAGCTCCATTTGTGTCCTTGTAAATGACACTTCACCCTCCTTTCCTGCTGGTTGAGGTCAGAGGGACCAGTAGCGCTAATTGTGTGCCCTAGGGCAGCTGTGGCTACAATGTAGCCCACCACCCCCAGTGTGTGAAGTGGTGATTGTGGTGTGAAGGACTGTGGAGTCCTTCGACATAGAAAAGTGCTTTACAAATAGAAGCCATTAAAACACTTGTCCATTGTAAAATCATACTTTAAATAAGGAAGCGCTTCTGCAAATGTTCTAGTTCGTTTTATTTATAAAGCCCCTTCCCTTGGGGCGACGGTGGCACAGGCCGCTCAGTCTGTCGCTGTCGTTGTGCCCTTGGGCAAGACACTTAACCCACGTTGCCTGCTGGTGGTGGTCGGAGGGACCGGTAGCGCCTGTGCTCGGCAGCCTCGCCTCTGTCAATGCGCCCCAGGGCAGCTGTGGCTACATCGTAGCTCATCCCCATCAGTGTGTGAATGCGTGTGTGTGACTGATTGTGTTGTAAAGCGCCTTGAGGGGTTCCAGGACTCTAGAAGGCGCTATATCAAATACAGACCATTCCCACCCCAATCAAGGTGGCCCAAGGTGCTGAACATAGTGCAAAGAAGCAGCACAATAAAACAGCTCTATAATAAAATAGAGAAAAACATTTAAAAACAAGAAAAAAAGGCTGAAAACAATAAGAATAGTGATCAAAAACATTCAAATGTGAATAGAAACAATTAAGAAACAGATCTAAAACACAGCTTAAGCCTTGCTCTAAAAGCGGGCAGCGATGTGGACGGTTTGATTTCTTGTGGGAGTTGGTTCCAAAGCCGAGGACACAGAACTGCAAAGGTACGATCACCGCTAGACTTACGCTTTGATCGCAGTACCGCCAAAAGGTCACTCTGACCCAAACGTAGCCATCTTACAGGGACATAACGGGTCAGCAGGGTGGCTAAATATGGTGGCGCTGATCCAGACAGGGATTGAAAAACAAAGACCAGGATTTTGAACAAGATGCTACTCTTTACTGGTAGCTAGTCCAAAGCTGTCAGGAGAGGAGTGACATGCTCCCACTTACGTGCTCCATAAAGAAATCTGGCAACAGCGTTTTAGGCCAGCTGGAGCCGAGTCATTAAGGACTGGCTCAAGCCAGCATAGAAGGGGTTGCAGTACTCGAGCCTAGAGATGATAAAAGCATTGGCTACAGTTTTGAACTCCTGTTTTGATAAGATCGACGATATTGGATAAGTGCCTTAACTGATAAAAACACGAACGAACAACAGAGTTCACCTGACTATCAAATTGTAGACCAGAGTCGATCTTGAGATCTATCTAAAATTCTTCATACACACAAAAACGAAGAAAGAAGAAAAGCTTATTTGCTCGTATCACAGCAAAAATCACAAGCACTAGGAAAACGTTCTAAAAAGCCACAGGTCATGACCCAAAACACTAGGAACTCTCCCAGGCCTGTTAGCAACACGCTGACGACTCCAGTAAAATACACCTATAGAAGGAAAAAGTGTTGGGCATGCTGAGTTTTATAGACTTGTAGAATGTGGTGTTAAATGCACCAGAGTTCGTGTCCCAGAAAAAGAAAACAAAGTTCTATTAGTGTAAACACAACAAATAAAACTGCAAAAGCTGAGTTTGTGGACAAATTATGACGAAAAACACGTTAAACCTTTACTGGTTCCCAGTCTCTTGTTGATTGGTGGCAAGTCTAGTATGTGCTGTGTTTGCACAATGCAGCACAATACAAACATATAAACTCATTGTTGATATCTTTGGGGTCATAGGTCAGTTTAGAGGTAGGCCTAGGACGGTGGCGGACTGGCCATGGGGACTACCCAGTCATCCCTCGGCCTTGGCCGTGATGATTATTATCAAAAAGTTGTGCTTTGGCTGTCTACACAGGTCACAGTGGCTCAGGGGTTAGGAGTTTATCCTGTAATGGGTTGGTTCATCTAGATCAGTCCTCGTGTCCTTGGGCAAGACACTTAATGATAAATGACTGGCACTTGTATTGCGCCTTTCAGAGTCAGGTGGGGTACACTGACAGAGGCGAGGCTGCCGAACACAGGCGCCACTGGTCCTTCTGACCACCACCAGCAGGCAAGGTAGGTTAAGTGTCCCGCCCAAGGACACAACAGTAGCATTTTTGTCCGGAGCTGGTACCGAACCTGCAACCTTCCGATTACTGGACTCAGCCTCTTGAGATACTGCTGCCCTACAGCTACTGCTGCTGCCACTTCACCCTCCCTGCCTGTCGGTGGTGATCGGAGAGACCGGTGGTGGTGCCAAGTGTGGCAGCCTTACTTGTGTCAGTGTACCCCAGGGCAGCTGTGGCTACATTGTAGCTTATCACCATCAGCGTGTGAATGGATGAATGACTTGTATAGTGATTTGGAGTCCTCTGACTCAGAAAGGCGCTGTACAAGTGCAGGTCATTCACCTTTCCCATTGAACATTTTCACGAGACCAATCACCAAACGAGGTAGATCCGGCCTTAGGTGATGAGTGTTGCTTTCAGTCAGATGAGATAATTGCCTCAATTATTTCATTTCTAAAGCATGGCCGATGTAAGTACTGGGGAAACAACCACCCGGTAGTTCACCACCCTGAAAGTTTCTGCTAATTTCTAACAATACTAGCCAAGGTTAGCCCGGCAAGCCATCCGATATATGTTTGATATATAGTCTAGCTTTGGTCCAATAACGGCTCTCAGTCATGAGGCATGATCTACGTTGGTTTTCAAACTGTCCCCGCATGCTATTGGACAACAAACAGTGACGTACTCACTGCTTCAGATGTCAGTCAACGAGGCAGTCCGCCAACCTCCATCAAACAAGATGCAAATACATCCTTTTTCTAAATAAACTTAAGTATCTCTATCTGCTCTTGACTCAAAGAAAAGCCTAAATCAAAATAGTCCAAAGTTGAAGCCAAACTCGTTTCAAACGAGAAGTCGCTGACTCGCCATCTTTGTATTTTCAGTAGCATCCCACCCACTAAGTGTAGTGATTGGCCCACCAAACCAATAGTGCACTATGACTAGACTGCTATGGAGATGGGGCCATCTTGATTAGTTAATAACATCCTGACCACCTGGGTGATAGTGCGATGTGATTGGCCCACCAAACCAAAGGGCGCTGTGATTGGATTGCCACGGATGTCAGTCAGCAAGGCAGTCTGCCGTTACATCGTGCAAGAACTACATAAAACATTAAAACATGTAAATCAATACATTGTTTGTCTAAATAATGTGCTGTGATTGGTCGGCAACATGCCTGGCCAGGCTTGCAAAGGTTCCAATGAAGTGTGCCTCGACTGAAATGCCAAGCAAATTTATGTTGCTTCGGCAAATGACGGTATAGATTCTAGGCTAACCCAAGGTCATATTCTGGGTAAATTTCTACCGTGGGAATCTGTTTTGACCCCAGTATCTATAGTAGAAATAGAGAGTTATATAATGTCCCGAGAAAACTACTGATTCCTGAAAGGTTTGCCCAAAGCAAATACACGTCTTTAGTCTGATCTTAAGGAACAGCAGATATTGTAGGACCCAAACATAGTCACAAATTTATGCAAAGTTAATTTTCCGTAAATTAGATTTAAAAGTGGGTGACTCCTGCCTCTTTGCTCTACCTTTGTAGGTGTCTCTTCCTTAGCCTCCCTCCTCTCCCTTTCTTGGGTTCTGGCCTCCTACCACAAGCTGCTACGTGACTCTCGTGATGACAAACGCAGCATGAGCTACCGCGGGGCGCTGTTACACCTGTTCTGGCGTCTTTTCACCATCTCATCTCGTGTCCTCTCCCTCGCCCTCTTCGCCTCCCTCTTCCACATCTACTTCGGCATCTTTGTGGTAATCCACTGGTGCGCCATGGCCTTCTGGGTGGTCCACGGAGGCACTGACTTCTGTATGTCCAAGTGGGAAGAGGTGCTCTTCAACATGGTGGTTGGGATCGTCTACATCTTCTGCTGGTTTAATGTGAAGGAGGGACACACACGTTATCGAATGATAGCGTATTACATTGTAGTGTTGGCTGAGAACTCCATCCTTACTGGCCTGTGGTGAGTTATAACTGAATTATCTTGACTTGACGGATTTGTTACACAATGTTTGAATTTGGTTATTCTTAGAGGCAAAAAGGAGACCAAGACCATGGCAACGAGACACCAGCCAAGAATGGAAACTCAGAAAGACCACTGTTTCCTTTTGCTTTAGCTCACAAGTTACAAATAGGCTGTACATGTCTTGTTCTCAGCTACAAATGTGCATTCTGATTGGCTCACATTTTTCCTATATCCTGAAGGTATGCTTACCGGGATCCAGTGCTGACCGACCAGTATGCCTTCCCAATGCTGTGCGGCGTCTACCTGACATTTGCTGGAGGCGTCCTGGTCATGCTCCTGTACTACGGTTTCCTGCACCCTGCCACTGTCCACCTCCAGCCGAGCCCCGCCTCATCCTGCTGCGCCCAGCTGCTGTGGGGTCTCCCTCTTCCCCCCTCAGCCCCGCCCACTGCCCCACCCACTCCAGCCCACATGACCAAGTCCCAGACGGAAGAGGATGTGGCCGAGACGTGTCTTCCAGTCTTCCAGGTGAGGTCTGCCCCCCCAACCGCCAGGCCAGAGGGCCCGCTAATAAAAATTGACATGCCCAGGAAGCGTTACCCGGCGTGGGATGCCCATTACGTTGACCGTCGCCTGCGGAGGACTATAAACATCCTGCAGTACATAACGCCTGGCGCTGTGGGCATCCGCTACCGTGATGGACCTTTGCTGTATGAACTTTTGCAGTACGAGTCCTCACTCTGACACACACACACACACACACACACACACACACACACACACACACACGTACACTTGAGCACATACAGCACCGTAACAAATGTACGTGTATGTGGATGTTCAGATTTAGAGAAGACTATTAGAAAAATGTTCGTGTGTTTAAGGTGACTCGATAGAAGCACACGCTCACTAAAGCAATCTCACATTTTTATTATACATTCACACACACGCACACACACACTCTCCTTGCATGCACATAAAACCTGTGAGTCCCACGGCCATGACTCAGCAAGCTACTGTCATTTCCTCCATTCTCACTTCTTTCTCTCTGTTCAGCTCGTCCGATCGCTCCCATCTTGGTCCCGTTCTTATGAATTTCACACATTTTGCCGAGTTGTTTCAAAAGCTAGCAGAGCTTTTCAGCTGCACTTGTTTATGTTGCAATCATAAATAAATAAGTTCATAGGTTTCAGAAGAAGAAAGCAAGATGAGTTAAAGACAGAAAAAACACAACTTTTCATAAAAGGAGTTGTAAATGTCGCTGGTAGTTTAGTATAATGATAAAATATATATATACATATATTTTCTACGTAAAAACACATGTTTGTACTAGATATGTACTATTATATTGTGGATGGAAGATTCACTTCAACACAATTTCTTTGGTTGTTAAGGACGCCAGGAAGAGAAGCGCAGTAAGAACTCTTCTTTCTCAAGATTTAAATGCGTGATCGTAGAAAAATGGACACGACACTGAAGTAGTTTAATGACACAACAACAGCAGTTAAGCAAGTCTGTAAGGACAGCGGACAAAACAATGCTAGCTGGTTATTTTTAAAAAAGATCCCTTTAAAAATGGGACGCCCAAATCGTTTTAGGCAAAAATCTAGATTTATGAAAGTACAAAAGGGTGTAGTGAAAGGACAATTAACTTGGTTTACTTTTTATTAACTAAAGTTCAATGGAAACATTCGGGTTTGTCTATAATTACAAGGAAACACGTATTCTCCACCAATTTTATTAGACACTAAAAATGTTCTTATGGTAACCCAAAGAAAAACAAGCCTAACCCCGGCTCTCCACCTGATGTGTAGCGTAAGATGCAAGTATAATACGCAGCTAATAGCCACCATTATAGTCAATGGGTGTGTTTCCAGCGGGAGTGGGGTGGCGTCTTGAACGCATCCCAGAAGCATAGTGTGACAGCGCTGGGTAAATGTATGCATTTTTACACGCCACATTTCCAGAACACGCCAAGCTCAGCAGTTCAAATCAGGCCATGCTAAAAGTCAAACACTGGAGCAGAGTAAAGCAGCCTACAACTTTCAAAATAAAAGACACATGCAGATTTATTATTGCTTAAAGACCAAGTTCCCTTGGTGCTCCAATTTCAAGAATTAGAAGTAAGCCAGAGCAGAGGGGAGCAGAACTCTTATTCCCTGACACTCGGATATCTCCCCTCTGATTGGCTAACAGCAATACATCTCTACCACTGACTCTACAGGGAGCCTAAGTCACGTCCATCTACTTCCGCACCACGGGTCCCTGGAAGAACGAAGAACTGAATGCAAGTCAACGGGGCTAAAAACGCTATTTTTTAATTCCGCTTGTTATGTGCCATGGATTTCACATATGATGTCCGTGAATTTTAAAGACACATTTTGATACCAAGAACGCTTATTTTCGAACGGGGGGACGATATTTTAGGTTTTGTGTGAAAATAATTCCAGGTCTACAAATGCGCTTCACGAAAATGACGTCATCGGACCAGACACAGAGAAAACTGAGGGAAAGTTCTTCAAACCTCCCAAACTTCTGACGTCAGCTCTGAGGATGTTTGCAGCCGCAAACGAAACGTCAGCAAGGTAAAGAAAAACCTTATCTGTGTTTAAAAAATAACCAAAAATGGAATTAGAAAATAGCGTTTTAGCCCCGTTGACTTGCACTCATTTTTTCGTTGTTCCGGGGACCCATGAGCCGACCGGAAAGGAAGGAGACTTAGGCTCCTTATTTGCTCTGCAACATTGATGTTTCATCTTCACAAATAATACAAGCCTGGAGGAGTTCTGATGTGTTGTGGAGTTGCTAACGCTAATGGTTAGCTTCTATTAGCCGAGACGCTCTGCTGTTTCCTGGACGCTAAACCAACAACAGCCAGGATGGGTGAGTTTATGAATGCTGATTTTCAGCGTGACAAAGACCTGAGTGTTTTTCTAATCCGAGTGTCTCCACGTCTATTTTGTATCGGCTGCTAATCTAGTTAATGGGGGTAGACCATTTTCACATTTAGCCTGCATTTGAAACTTAGCTTGATCGATCGTATTTTAAAAAAGAACAAGTAAAAACTGGTTTCTCCGTGAACTTGGCCTAGAAATAGTAAAACATAATACATGATTACATGTGACCTCCAAGGTGAAAATAAACCACAGACCTTCTGGATACATGCTGCCATATTTTTCCTAGCTTGTTACTGTGTCAAATGGCAAAATCAAGCTTGATCTTTCGATTCCACGGGAATTTAGTGATGTCGTGGGACCGGCTGTGGAGAAGGCATCCGCAGCCGCTGCTCGTCCGAAGCGTGTCTCTGAGACTGCGATGTAATTGCGTCTATTATGCTACGCGCCACTTACTCATCAGGTAAAAAGCCCCGGTAATGCCTAATTTTTCTAAATATTTACTAATTGTAAAACTTGCACATGTTAGTTAGCATATTAGCAAAACTGTTGGGTAAAGAGATCAATTGGTTCGTGAAACTGTTACTTGACAGTAACAGTTCCAACAATAATTCCCAGGATGGTGAGAAGTTTTGAGTAATTGCTAATGCCCACTAAACAGGCTTACATACAGTAGGTGCTAGACAATAACAAAAATAACAAATATCCTTATTTCTAACAGAGAGAATGTGAGACGAATTATTCCTGATTTGTGACTAATATCTTAATCATGCTGGTCCAACGCTGAGAGCAAACCCGTGTCATCGTCACAACCCGTATCACATCCAACATCAACTCCTCCAAGGCCACCCACGGCTGAGCTGTGATGGATGGCTCATAATTTATTTCATTCTGTTTGTTTATCCATGATATCCAAGCTGTTAGGGTGGCGGGTGACAACAAACGGGCCAACGCATCAGTCACGGGCCTGTCTGCGGGAATGTTGCAGGGATGACACGCCAACAGGAGGTCCCTCTCGCTCTGTGGGGGGGCAAGTTGGAAGAGTTGTTTACTGTCCAACTCCTAAAACCTTGTGGCGTCAGCAAAATAGTTGATGAAACGGAGTCGCCGCACGTAAAGAAGTTAGAAAAGATAAATACATGTAGTTGTGTTGACGATTAGAGGAGTATTTATGAAGAAGATGGAAATATTTGTGTTTTTCGAGTGCATGCTAGTAGTAGTATTATTAGTACTAGTATATGTAGCTAATAACCACAAAGTGAACCAAATTTTTGTTTTGACATTTCACAAAACTGGATGGCCCACTCCAGGTTGAAGAGGGCGAGATCCTACCTCAAGTATCTGTAAGTCATGTTCAAGATTGAAGGAAGGTTGGAAGTGGAGATGGACAGATGGATTAGGGTGGTGTCTGCCGGAAACTGGACTTCTTTGGTTTCATGAAGACGTTTCGCTTCTCATTCGAGGAGCTTTGTCAATTCTGACTGTAATATGGCAGGGTCAAGCTTATAAACTGTAGATGTCTGCCGTTGCTTAAAGCCTACTGCTCACTGGAAGCGTCAGCGGCGCGGAATGGCAGCGGAATGTCACCGCTTCAAATAGAATCCATCAGAGTCTATGGGGGTGATTCAAACCAGCCGCGATGCAACAACTTTCAGGCGCAGAAGCACCACACCGCGGCGCCAAAGATAGGATCGGCCACGCAATCTTGGTTCTGTTTAGTCACCATGAGCTATTGTCTGTCTCCAACAGTCACTGAGTGTGAGACAGGGCACACCCTAGACAGGTTACCTGTCAAAACATAAAACATTATGTCAAAGCTAGGACCTGGAGACTCATTTTGACTCTGCCCATACCCCAACTTCTGATTCTTTAAACCGTAAAACAACTCTGGATGAGGAATTTTGAAAGTATTACCCCAACGTACAGCCTTTGACTAGCTATCTTAAAGGGACATTTCACATCTTTTAAACTGTGCTTCTGCAGTCAAGTTATGAACAGTTGATATCGTACCTGTTAGGTGTTAGAACAAACTCAGTTTAGAGAAACAGGACTTAGTTCTGGCCAAGTCGATAAACTTGTCTTAAAAGGGGCCATGTCATGGAAAATCCACTTTTTGGTGCATTCCAGCATGAAACCCTCAAACCCTTGTTTGGCTGCATTCATGCATTTTCCTGTTTCAGTCGCAAATTTTGAATTTTATTTTGAAAATCCTGAAACAGCTTAATGTATAAGATGTACATCAATCTATCTTCCTGCTCCCAACATCAGGCCCTGCACCTTCCCCAGAAATTAGTCTGGTCTGAAACCGGTCTCCCCGGCCAGGTTAGGACATGTGGCAGAGGCGACAAGTGTCATGTGACAGACTTGGTCTAGTCGTCTAGTCTAGTCGTAGGTACGATGGGCAGGGATTCAGTTTTGTGCAGATTCACATCCCGGTCTCAGCAGTAACTTTTTTCTTCTATTTTAGCTTCACTTGCCAGTATTATGTTTTCAACCCTTTATTGATAAACAGTTTAGAATATAAGGAATAATATGGGTTTTTTTCTACTTCGTTTATTTAGCCAGTGTGAGTCCATGTGAGGTGAGCAGACTAAACCAATCAAAATGCTTAGAAATGACCAAATTCAAAGATGTTTATAGACACAAAATATTTTGCAGAAACTAATCAGTAACACTAAAATATAAATACATGAAATCTGCTTCAGCTGGCTAAATAAATTACTGCCGACACTACTGGGATTCAAACCCACATCAGCACAATCCTACGACCTTAAGAGTCTTGAAAGGTGCATACAAATAAAATGTATTATCTTTAGCGACGCAGTGCAGATAACCATTCCTGAACTGAAACGCTCTGCGCAGTGGCCGGTTCAAATCAACCCCATAGACGTTCCACGACGCTGATGCCTCCAGTGCGGATTAGGTGCCCTGTGTCAAAACTGAGATGGCAGGAGGCGCCTTTACCACGGGACTACCATAGTCAACAAAGTAACCAGCTTGCCTAAGACGCTGTAGTGGACACGTTTTGTCAGCACTGGCATGCACAGAGTTTCACCGAAATGAAGCTCCTTAATTCTGGGTATAAATTCAGGCTAATGAAAATAACTTGTATTTAAGACAAATAACATCTCAATAGCGCCAATGGTAATATTTTATCATATACTGTGCCTACCTTTGTTCTCAAAGGTTTAAAATAGCATGATATGGAACCGGCCACAATCACAGATAATTTACACCATCGAAACACAACTCCAACCTCTAAATATTTTAAAGCAGTTCATACAAAAGCAAACACAAAACCCTTTACACTGTTGCATGGTTGAATCCTTTGATTTCTATGGATATTCGCAAGTGCAAACAGCATCAGCTAGCCGTAGCACTTCCAGTGCAGTTTGGGGCACACAATATCTGTGTAAAGCACAAGTAAAAGCAGTGTAGGGGTCTAAATACATTTCTGAGATTGGAGTAGTTTAGGGTAACAGCTGTCCACAACTAGACCACGACTAAGTGGTTACTTCGCCCTCCATGTTGGGACCTAGGGCTAAATGTTATGGACCAACATTAACACAGTATTAGTATTAGGGCTGCACAATATATCGCAAATATATCGTTATTGTGATATCAGCATGCGCAATATGCATATCGCAAAGAACAGATAAATATCGCAATGAATGGTCAGCTCAAATGTTTGCTACACATAAAGCATTTTGTCAAACGGAAGCTTGATGTTTTTTTTAACAAATCAAATAGAGTTCTTCACCCATTTGGCCAATTGGGTGGGTTCTCATAGGTTAGATGCCCGCCCCCGAAGCGGAGGGCACTTAATTTTGATGGTTAGCAAACACCTGAGTTAGCTTTGTTCTGCTCTTTCTGCTGATTCTGCTTTTCTTGTTCATTTTCTTTGTCCCTTTCCTCACATCTTTTGCTTTTCTCGTTTTTGTCATTTTTTTAAATTTCTTTGTTTTTGATTATTTTTATTCCCGAGTTAAGATTTTGTTTATCGCAAGTAATATTGTCACTGCAATATTTATCACTGTTATTGCATATCGCAGGTTTTCCTAATATCGTGCAGCTCTAATTAGTATCATAGATAATCAAAAAATACAGCAAAACACCAGAAAATGCTAAAGCTACCACTTAGCTTTGATCGATGCAAATGAGGAGTGAGCTTGCTTTATTTCCTGTGGTGCTAGCTAATTTAAAAAACAGACAAATCATTTGCTGCGATCTGGCAAACAGAGTCATTTGGTGCAAACAAAAGCAGCTGCATATGGTACGAGAGCCAATTGGCTGCTAATCCCACTTCATATGGTGCGAACATGAAACACACGTGTACTTATGGTGCAATAAGGGCAGATTGTCTCTTTGAATTCTCTGGTGCGACTCGAGTACTGCCTTCAGTTATCGGCCAAGGCTGTGCCAAAGGCTCCTTCCAAACCGACAACTGCTCTTCCTGTCCTGCAGAAGCTATGCAAGTCTCCGTGCAGGGAGATGTGCTTAGTGTACATGCACAAACACTCATACAAACACATAAACACAGGGTTTTCCTCTGCAGCAGGGAGATATGTTTAACACACTTACACTAGAACAGACACACCCAATGTCTAATAATCCCTTACCCCTTTATATGTTGGGAACAATATTCATATGGTGCTATTGCAGAAAGGTTTTTTGTAAAGTTGTGAAGAATTTAGCCAAATATGTTTAGGATGAAAACACTTTTCAGTTCAAGCTAAAAGCAACATTTGGTGGCGATGCTCGACGCAGAGTGATACTACTGCTTTGGTACTCTTGGATCAGGACGTTGCACTGTACATGTGTCAAAAATCAAAGGAAAACCACACTGTGTCCGCACTACGAACCAATGATGTGCCATGTAGAGAACACAGTCAGCCATTTCTTGTTAGTGCTTGTGGATTTTTTGCATGAATGTTGTAGATTTGAAGGCACAAATAAAGTTTTACCCCAGAGGCATCAAGGTTTCAAGCACCACAGGTGCTTCTGGGTTTATGAAAGGGGGCTCATTTTGAGCTTCCTAGCCGTTGATCCCAGTGGATTTTTCCAATGTATAACTCTCCCCAAAACCACATTCCCCGTTGCAACCAGAGCTTCAGCCAATCAGAGATCTGGTTTAATACAGCCAAATCAGGTCAGAAACAACCAAATACTATAGTTTCTTTTTATAACAAGGAAGCTTTCACGTGTAGGTTTAAAACTCGACATAAGACACAATCAAAGGGAAGGCATCATTTCGGTCATTGTTGGATCACAAAGTAGAAAAGGCTGTATCTACAGTCGAGTAGGTTGTCTACAGTTGAAAAGCTTCCTCCTTCACCTAGAAAACCAGAGCCTTAGCTAGGCCCACTCTTTGAGAACATGAAATCCAGCTAGTGCTCTCTCGCTTTTGTATGGCCACGCATCTACGGCTATGCAAAGTAACAAAAAGCAGGATGGCTCTGGGCTTAGACAACCTTTACAAATATACCACATCACTGTTGTTTCAGTATTTTTGCTGTTTTTTTAAAAGAAGACTTGGGGGGCTCTAATTTTTTTAATGAATTAGGACACAATAAAAAGCAAAAAAAGAAAAAAAGTGTTATACCACCAACACAAATAACCTGTCAGCCAGAAAGTGGAAGTCCACTGTAGGTCTTGACAAAGTCTTCAGACACAACCATCAAGGAGCCTTAGAATGGTGCTAGCATATTCAAGACAAGAATCCTGAAGACATCAGAATGGCTTAAGCTTAGTTTATGCTTGACGCATTTACTTTCCGCGCGGTGATGCGGCTCGCGGATGGAACGCGCTTCACAACTCGCAGCGTTTACGGTTCGTGCGGCTTGTCTCTGCGGTGAGCCAATATTCTCCCAAACTGAACGGGGCAGCATGGCGCTCTACAGCATGCATCCAACACTACACCATAGTAGAAGTAGAAACTACTGTTTACAACATGGCATTCCAGCATTTTTAACAGCGTCCTCGTCTTTTCAGACAGTGCGAGCTATTTCTCTCCAAGAATTATTAACAACATGTTGATCACGGTGATCTCTGAGAGCTGAATCATACAAATGTCTGTATTTACGAACCTCTGCCATACTAGTTCTTGCCGGTCCGCCATGTTTTTCCGCGTCCGTCCATCCACGTGGTTAGAAATTTTCCGAGGTGCGCGTTGCGGAAATCTTGGGCCGTGCGGAGACGCGGTGGAGGGGCGTGGTTGTTAAAATGACGCAAAATGACGCAACTTTTCCGTGCGGAGCCGTGCGGACCTCGCGGACGCGTCAAGCATGAACCAACCTTTAATCAGATTTCGAAGCCTCAGTCAGATTTGGCCTCAACTTTTTAGCACATAGTTGCATCTCAGTTAGAGAGTTGTGCCATGATGAGGCCTAAGAGGTGGGGCGACTTCAGCAACACGCTGAAGAGTCTTTATTGGAATAAAAGGCAGATGGATTGAGTGGTGAGGGCACTGGAACGTGTATCAGGGATAGAGGATACAGCAGGGAAAGAAGTATTTGGAGAATATCTACATTTGTTATGATTCAGCCACATTGTAAAGAGTTAGGGTTAGGTTGTGCAACCTATGGCATCTTTGGTGAGGTCATAACCCTGTACAAAGGTGGCCTTACATTAGAGTTCCCAAGAGTAGGAACACCAAAATGAAACAAACCCTAGAAATCGGTTGTAGATTCAAGAGACCCAAGTCAAAAGGTAAAATATTGAATTCACAGCAGAAGATTTTGAAAGAAGTTTGACTTGTTTGAAGGGGTTGGCAGCAAAAACTGTGTTCGTAAAATTGCATTGGCGCAAACACCTCATACCAACAGTATGGTTGGAACTTTTTTGAGACATTGACTTGACCATAAACTTGAGTTGAATGTTGGGTCACCTATCCAAAGTCTGGTCCTAATTGAGTCAGGAAATTGAAAGATGATCAAAATCACAATAGAACAGAATGGCTGAAAAAAAGGAAATCAAGGGTTTTCAATGTTTCAAAGTCCAGAACTTGTTCTGAAAACCTGACCTGTTTCTAAACAAGTCTTCACACTTTCTGAATTCTGGCTTCAAGTTGTTTCTAAATAGCAAATATAACCATGTCTAAGGCTTTATGTACATACTGTTAAACCTCTGGGAAGAACCAAATGATCATTTTTAATGTCCTGATTGGCAAAACCTTTAGAACTGAAAGATTGTGAACTTACACAAATGTACATGACAGTGAATTGTTTTAAAGGTTTTTGCATTTGCTTTAGATATTTACCATCATTTTTATGAAGTCATTATACCGTCAAGATTGATAAGTCAGGAGTGGGAAGATGATGATGCAACTTCCTCCTTGAGAAAGTTGAATTCCACCTCCTGACTGAGGAATGTGTCTCTTATTGTTAAAACAAAAATCTGATTGTTTTATCTTCTTTTGGACTACTTGTAGGGGTGGACTGGGGCCACAATTCGCCCACCAGGACAATGCCAGATGGACCAGTCCACCCCTGACTACTTGCTCCACTATCAGGGTGTATAAATCATATGAAGCCTACGGTATGGCTGTATGCACGTGTGTACAAGCTAGTGTTTTTGTTTGGTCTACAGCTGCAAAAGAATGACTGCTCATTTTTTATTTTAAAGAGCTCAAAGCCGGTTGTTTCTGATCTCAGACCAGTTTCTGTCAGGCTTGAGTCCAACAACCACTGGAATATTTTTCTTTAAAAAAATCATAAATTGAGTGAAAAAGATTTCAGATGTTTGACTCAGATTTGTATCCTACAGACGGGGCAGGGTCAAACTAAACATCAACTTGGATGTATCTATACCATAAGCTTTTATTTTGTCAAAATCACGCTTTTCTATTGTCAGCGTGGAGAAGAAAAAAGTTTTAAAAAGTAGTTTTAGTAATGATGTGCAAACGTAGCTTTTTAATTTTCCTGTGGTTGGCATTTTGATTGTAAATACCCTTTTGTTGTAACTTCTCAGTCGGATCTATGTTCCACAGGTTTGCGTAGATGGTCCTTTCAAATGTACTGATGGTAAATGTTCTTTATTAATATCTAGAATGTAAGGAGGAGAAAAAATTACAGCTCCACATGAAACTGGTTTCGTAGGAATCTGTGCCATCGTGTTGTCTTGCGTATAAGCACACTGATAGATGAAGTTTTTGGAAATGATTGGTCAGACAGCCTTAAGCAAGGTTTGGATCCACGAAAGTATTAAGATAAGCACATTTTCCAAACCGAAGCAGTGATTAGCTGGCAATATTAGCTTAGATCTAAGCTCTGGAATCGACCATTATTCACCAGAATCAGTTTAATGGATAATCGACTCAACTGAACTTTTTATTCAGTTCATGAATACATCAATAAGCGTCAATCAAGCAAACAGTATCCGACATTTTTCCCAGATTGTCAACTTATCATCACCAAGTGCAAATTTGCGATAGACGAAAGGAAAAACTTCATTGGTAATTGTAGTTCTATATAGGATCAATCAGCAGTAAACTGGTATTTCGTAGCCTGGCAAGCCGTCCTATACATGTGATTATATAGTCTGGCTACGACCCAAATACAGATCTGTCAAGGGGGTATATTCTTCCAACTGTCTCCGCATGCTATTGGTGAACGCACAACGTGGCATTCTCACCGCTACAGATGTCAGTCAACGGGGCAGTCCACAATATACTGATGACACAAATACATCCTTTTTCTAAATAAAGGACTTAAGAACCTATATTTTCTATTTACTCAATGAAAAGCCCGTCTAAATAGTCCAAAGTTGATGCTAAAGCAGTTTCAAATGAGCCATAGCCATCTTTGTTTCGCTCTGTCGCATCATCCCACCCACCAAACCGATAGAGCGCTGTGATTGGCCCACCAAACCAATAGATTGCTGCGATTGGCCCACCAAACCAATAGATTGCTGCGATTGGCATAACACAGGACTGTTCAGGCCTGCTGAGGCTCTCGTGAAGCTTGGCTAGACCAATCTGCAGGGGAAACAATAATTTTGCTTTGCCTACAGTCTTTCTAGATTTCTAGGCTAGGTATTTCAGGCTGTTACTTTTTATTTTTTGCTATCGTAAATTGATACCAGTGCTGAACTCCAGAGTTAGGGTGTTTAAAGCTCTGGAAAAGTACAGTTAAAAAACACGGTAGCACCATTTTGACTAACAGAGAGAATACCCTTCTTTTAAAAAAATTGTATAAAGTTCTAATCTTCTCTTGGTGTTGTGCTGGAAAAAGCACCTCTGCCATCTAAAGCACCCCACCTAGTTAAAGGCCCACTAACATGACAGTAAAACAAGTTTATGTGTAGCTCACTCATGTGCCCAGCTTTCGATCATCTTAGTGAGCTTTGCTACTATTGAAAATCATTTGATAGATCAATTAGTCGACTTTTAATTGGTGAAAAATAACAGGGTGTTTCTCTGAGTGTTAGCTAAGCCAATCAAAGAATGCTTTACGTAAGCGATGAGGATATTTTTGACTCATGCTAATGCTAGGCTGTCTGGCCACCATCTCCTGACTTAGCTGTAGAAACGATGACCGCCGTCATCAAATCTGTTCACACCGCTCTTGCGTTAGCGTATCAGAACATCGTTCAGGTATTTACCATTTTCTTATGAGTTTATGTGTTGGGGCAGGGTGAGTGGGTGCCTCTAATTTACACCAAATATTTTAGACCAATCACAAACGAGACAGGAGAGAAGCATCTCGGTTCCTGGTCTGTGTTTTCTGCGTCTACTTAAGTGTTACAAGGCATTCTGGTAGAAGAGATGATATTTTTGATGGCTCCATTGGGCCAGCATTAGGAAATGTGTTATTTTTGTTACAATAACTCCTGCAAATAGAGTCTATTTATCTGTGAGATTTACTAAATGAAAATACAGACGACTGCATAGAAATGAGATTTTAAACGATGTACAACAGATATTAAAGAAAACTTGTAGTTGATTTGAACACGATACAGAAATGTGTCAGTATTACGTTTGGTTTTATATATTTGTCATTTTATTACGTTGTAATGTTGTGACTGCAATGGAGAGGAAAAAAAACAAAGGAATATAAATGATTTTTTTCCAAAGTATGCGTCTTTTTCTTTTTACGAATGTGTCGAGATTTGAGATTTTTCTTTAAAAAAAAAAATAAAAATAAATGACGACACGAAGACTTTGGCAATAAATCCACTTTAATTATTGTTCCTAAGCATTTTGTTAAAGCATAAAAACCTACAGCATGTTACCCGCTTCTTAAGCAAAAGAACAAGAGCAGTGCAAAGATGTAACCTGATTTTTAAACACATAGCCATAAAGATAAGGCATCATTACTAGGAACTGGACAACTGAACCTTGATTTATAAAAAAAATTAAATACAAAAAAAATTCAGTTAGCGTCCCATTAAAATTCATCACAGTGCAACAATATGGCTTGTTTGGAAGAATTCCCAAAATAATTAATTTTTTTCCCACAAAGATGGTAGAACAGACAAATCAGAATTGGGGTAGACCAATATATTGGGCAGATATTTACCGCTTTTTTATATAATCGGCATTGGCCGACATTTGTCCTTAATAAAGCCGATTTATAGACAGGCACATCCTCGGGCAGCCCGGTGCTGTTGCAGAATTTAATTTTTATGTATTTTTACGTTCACTAAGAACATCTGCATAATAAATACTCTAACTTAACTTTATTTAGGTGTCTGACTTCAACACTGAGCAGTGGCCAAAGTTAAGATGTAACAGTTGGTTCAATTCAGAGTTCAAAAACCGATTCAGCTTCAGAAATGTTTTTCCATCAACCGATGTTATTAGTGATATTTTAGCCTGAAAAAAGGTGGAAAACATCTGGATGTAGGTCATGAAAATCGGCCCATAATAATCAGCAGTAGTATTGGCCATTGGCTGACCATGTCTCCTACATATTGGCTGACCTCTACCTCAGACCAACATATATGCAAAAAAGACCATATCCTAATTCTCTTTTGTCATTTAATTTGGAAAATAAAAGAATTAAGGAGAATAGCACCGTGTGTGTGTGTGTGTGTGTGTGTACAGAAAATTCACTTAATAAAATGCAAACAAATAACATTCATTATAAACATTATTGGATATGTATGCAAGCAGTGCAACATAGAAAGGTGACCTTTGTGCTATTCTATGAATATATATTTAAAAAATATACTGTACACCAAAGTTTTTTTTTCAACCAATGCAAATTTTTAGAAATCAGGACTATCGGTGTCCGATTTTTTTTAAAATAGCTTGTGTTTTATTCAAATTCAAATTAACTTCAATTTGAAGAAAAAAAAATCAAAAGCAACCTAAAATACTCATAAGTCCATAAATAAATGTTTAAGGGATTCTTCCTGCCAAGATACTGTCCCCTCATCATTTGGAAAACCCACCTAATTTGTCCCAAATGGCGCACCGTAAAGTTCGATGAAAGGTGGTCTGTATGCTGCCTGATCATTTTTCCTTGCACATTTTGCACTGACTTTTTTTTCCCATTTTCTTTGAAGCATCTAAAAATGTTTAGTCCATGTGACCATTTTCCAAAGGTGGATCCATTTTCTTTACAAATCATGAACTTGTCCGTGAATGAAGTGTGTCTAGAAGACTAACAGCTAGTTCCACGACAGTTTATTTGAAATTAAAAATAAATAACTGATTTATTTAAGCCAACTCAAACATTTTCTAAAAAATAAAATAAAATAAAGCTAATTTGTATTTTGAGGTCAATAAATTAAAACCAGCTTTTTTTCTCTGTTTTGGCAAATGCTCACATTCACTATTGTACACTCTTAGAACTGAAATTATTATCTAGACTTTTGGTTGCATTTTTTTGTTGGTTTGTTAAAGGGACGTTATGGAAGTTTGACAGCCAAAACATGTATAGAAATAATAAATGTCTTCTTCATACATTCTCCTGCAATGCCCTGGTCCTGTAGAATGAGCCCTGGCATTTTTACTGTGATTGCCTGTTTTTCTGTAAAATCACAGAAAAAGAGAGATGCTCGGGTCGAGCAGGCTGCTTCATGCGCGTTCACGCTCAGGCATAGCCCGTAGCATTTGCTATCCGTAGCTTTAGCAGCAGAGAGAGAGGCAGTGGCAACTCAGCGACTTTGTCGCTGTTCCTAACGCCTAGTGACTAACCTAGCTACATTTCTGAGGACCCTTAGCTACTTTCTGTAGAACTTTCTTCTAGATATTTCCTGCAAATTAGAAACAAAATAGCCATTTTCGCTCCGAACCGTTCTTTGGTTTGACGTTGTTTCAGCTGTCATCAAGGATATAAAAGTTACAGATACTGTGAATGTTACTAGATTGTAGTTCACCTTGTAAGATGTCTGACTCTCATGCAGAAGACCTGGGTTTGATTCTGGATGAGAACATAGTTTATTTAGAGTTTCTTTTTTACATTAATGGTATATTTTTTTTACATTAAGATGCCCAAATTTTTATTTGAGACTCGCCGAACGGCATTGAATTCACAGATAAAAAAGATGTGGGTTCAACTTTCATTTTGGAACAATTTTTCAAGCAAGGGAAGGGAATGATCTGAGCATGCAGGAGGACTGACCCATCATAAACCTTTGTCGGCTGTGCTGAAGAGAAAGGTACAGAACCAAATTATTTAATGAATTAGCTGCACGTTCTCCTGTCCTCTAGGCCACACACACACACACACACACACACACGGGACGGTCTCAGCTGTTATTTTCGTGAAGGAGTGTGCACGTACAGCATGCGTGCCTCGTGCACGAGCCTCCTATTGAAGCTGCTGTTACGCTTTTAGCCTGAGGGTGCAATCACGAGCATAAAAATTCAAAAGTCTGAAAAGTCCCTTTAACTTAAAATGTCAGTAATGAAATAAATATTAAACATTTGATCTTTTTGCAGCAACTATTCACAGTTTTTAATCCCTGAAAATCAGACGTCTACCCAATTTAGGATGTCTGATCGTTCAATCCAAACTGTGTTTTTAAACGCTAAATATCCACTGACTGGAAAGATTCAACCTATTTCTGTAAATTCCTACTAATCTCCCCTCTTTGATGATTGTCGTTTGTCTCTGGCATCACTTAGACGAAGTATGGCTGATATAGACATTAACCTGCATAGAAATCTTTTTTTTTTCAAACATGTCTTCCCCCTCTGTGAGCAATTAGCAGTTATTAGCTTGAATTAAGGAATTTGTTGGTGCGATAAAGGAACTCGGATTTAAAAAGTAGACCCAACAATAAAAGACTGCATAGTAAGCTTCCAGCGTAAGTGATGCAGAAGCAGCATAACAACATCCATGCCACATAAACTCAGTATTTTGGCGCCATCTGCTGGCAGAACAAACAGATAAAACAACAGAAAATTACAAAAAATATAAAACACACTGTATTTATTTTTGTCTCCATGAAAATGATTCATCTCCTCACCTCAAAAGGAGTCACCACAGTGAACCACTTCTGTCTTATTATGGAGACCAGGACCTGGTGTCCATGGGAAGACTTGGTCCAGATTGGAGGACGGGTCCACAGCAGGAGAGAGCAGACCTGAGGGTTTTTAACATAACTGGCTTCTCCTGCTGCGGTGTGCATGAAGTCAACAAGTAAAGTGCTACACGTGAGGGGTTTTACCCCAATAAGGGTTCATCATCATCGTCGTCGAGGATTTCCAGCCTCCGGAAGGGTCGGGGGTCCGAGGACTGGCGGGACCGCATCAAAACGAAAAGAACTGAGGAGCATCGAGCTCTGTTAGTATCCAAAAAACATTGTTTTAGAAATCAGAAAATTCTTTTGTGTGTCCAGACTTACGGGTGAAGACCGTGAGCAAACTTAGGACGCTGATCACCAGGCCCGCCACCAAAGGGACGTTCCAGCAAGTCTCACTGGACAGAAGACACCGAGCCTGGCTCAGAGAGCCGTTGTTGGGCCGCGGTGGGACCGACAGCAGGTGGCACATCAACGGGTAAACGTCCACGCTCTGCAAACTCTTCATCCGATAGCCTTGACGGAAGCTTGGCCCTGTCGCTGCCAGGAAGGGGTGCATGCTGGGTAGGGAGTTGTCATAGCCGTGATCTCCCACTGAGGAAGGAAAATAAGGGAGTCAATGTCCAAAAGATGTTCTAGAAGCTTGTGGCTCCTCAGCATGGATTTGGGTAAAATTTTGACGTTTCCTGGTCCTGTAGACCTTAAACCTCTGAATAATCTGTCCAACACTAATCAGAGGAACATCAAGATATTTGGTCTTCTAGTGTTTCAGCTGCTCTGGGATGGTCTTCTAGCCTTTTAACTGTTTTAGCACGAGGTGGGGGGGGGGGCACATACCCAAGCAGAGAACCAGAACCCGACTGGCATCAATCAGACGTTCCACCGAGAGTTCTACTGGCTTACCAGCAGTGGTGTGTTCAGGCCTTTCAAATGGGGTGGCCCAGAAAGTCTGACTAAGCTACTGCAACACTGAAGCTCCTCTTCTCTGAAGGCTTGGAGGCCAGCTGCTCTACTGCTTGAAGCAGACCTTCAAGAAGCTTTCACCCAGTAAAACCAAAGTGGCGTTGTGATCCTCATGCACAAAACAACTGGCAGCTTCTTCCTTCTGTAGGACTTCAGAGCCAGCCACCAGGCTCCAGCGCATGGACGTAATTTTCACTTTAGAAGTGGGGGGGGGGGTATCTTTACAGTATGCTCTAATGGGAAACAGGCTTCAAAACAAACGGTTGTTTTCCGCTTGGTCCTAGAGCTCAGCCAGTGTCAATTTAATATAGCGTACTTTTGTTTTGGGGTGGTAAAAAGTGCAGGGGTCAAAACTTGACTTTGGAAAAAGTGGGGGGGGGGGCATGTCCCCCCCAAAATTACGTCCATGCTCCAGCGGCTAGGAAAGGCCCAGGCTCCAACATCTGCCACAGACCTTTGGGCGTGGCCCAGACCTCAACATCTAAGGAACAAAAGGAATTTTCTGTTTGGACATGGTCTTCCAGCCTTTCAGCTGTTTGGAAATGGTCTTCACCTACTATATGCAGGGCAATAACGGTCCTCAACTTCCTGTTGTCTAAGTTCAGTGTGGTACACACGCTGATACCAATCAGAACTGTGTCTACCTTTTAGCTTTGGCGGCGACGATGGCAGAGGAGGTGTTTAGGAAGCTACGGAAGGTAATTATTCCAAACATTTACACAAAAACACTTAGAAATGGTCAAATATCACCATGTGGGCTTATTTATGAGGCGTTTGTTGTAGTTGGTACACACATCTGGGCAGCTTGTTCCCAGTCTTCACTATGGTCCAACCCTCGTCAGCAATCAGAATGATTGGCTGGATGCGCTCATTGTTCCGGTAGTGAAGCCTATCGGGGATTTCCTTCTTCAAGTACGCCATCATGTTGGCGTGGCACTTACTCAATAGTTTAAAGATCTTTTCTGGGTCTGCGAAGTAAAACACGTTAAATTAGAGAATAAAACATCAGGAAGGGAGCGTGGCTAAAGTTTCTTGGGTACCTCTGTTGGGGATGAGGGCTGCGACAGGCGTGAGATCCACCAGAGTGTAGTTGTCCGGGTGGAGGCAGTCGTCTAGCCGTATGAGGCGATCAGCCGAGCACTGAGCCATGCCGTGATCGCTGGTCACCAAGAGGTTGACGCGACCCCAGAGACCGGTTCTGTTCAGCTCAGAAACCAGCAGGCCGATGTCATCGTCGACCTGGTTGGACAGATTCACCAAGCTCATGGTCTATAACAGACACGAATAACAAAAAAGTATGTGATGGGTTGAACTGCACCTCCTTCATGGCTTTTTCCATTTCTGTAGTGTTGTCTGGTCCAAAAGCGTGGCCCGATCGGTCTGGTTCCTCCCAGTAAAGAGCAGCAAACTTCACCCCTTGCTCCTACCAGAGAAACACAAACATTTCAGACGATGATAGAAACACCAAATGAGATTTCCCAGATTGAAAAAGAACGTTATCTGTAATTTTTGTCCACCTGTCCGTTCCCCGTCATCCAGTTCGTTATGTTCTCTAGCCGCTGCCTGAACGTCATCCCGGGGTTGTAGGGGAAGAAGTGTGTCGGGGTCCTGTTGCCAATGGTTACGTCAGAGCCGGGCCACATCACAGCTGCCGTCTTGTAGCCGGTGTCCAGCGCCGTAAGCCACAGGGGTTCTGCCCCGTTCCACCACATGGGGTCGCTGTCATTCCGGGGGCTGAATTGTTTGTGGCTGATCGGGTCGTACATGCTACTGGCCAGGATACCGTGAGACTCTGCGTACAACCCGGTCACCTAAAGGTGACCAACAGTTATCTATCCATCTTTCATGAAGAAAAATGGTAATAACCCAGCCAGCATGCATAAGTGGGCTCCATATGGATATAGAAAAGCCAACTGTAGGACCCAGCTGGGTTTGTCTGCTGTGTCCATGGTGGCCCCACAAGGGTTTGCCCACATAGAATTTAACGGGCCCCGCATGGATTTTTAGAGGGACCCAGATGGTTTGATTCATACATGGGCTCCTTAAAATCGATGTGGGGTCAAATCTCTTGGGTCACCGTGGAAACCGCTGACAAACCCTCTTGGCACCCATACAGTTTGCCCATATGCAGCCCACCTATGCATGCTGGCTGGATTAATTAAGTTTACCAGGCTGTAGTGGTTGGGAAACGTCTTGGTGATGAAGACATTCGTAAGCTGCTCCACCAGGACCCCCTGGCTGTAAAGGAGCTTCAGGTTCGGCATGGAAAACCTCTGCAGGTAGTCAGCCCTGAAGCCATCAAAGGAGACCAGCAGCAGAGGAGGCGGACCCTGCTGGGAGGCATCTTTATCTGAGGCTGAAGCGCTGACGCCAAACAGAAAGCCCAGCAGGATTTGAAGAAACATTCTGAAAAGGAGTTGGTGGACAGTTTCAGTTTCACATCCGCAAGCTAACCACTTTTCACGTTTGCTTAAAAAAATAAAGTGACTATGTGTATTTTCCCTGGTAATATGGGGCAGTACATTCCTAAATCATTGCAAGCAAGCAGTATTTTTGTCTTCGAGTAAGACCTTACCAATGGATGGCCATTAGATGGTAAATGGCCTGTATTTGATATAGCGCCTTCTAGAGTCCTGGAACCCCCCAAGGCGCTTTACAACACAATCAGTCATTGACCCATTCACACACACATTCATACACTGGTGGGGATGAGCTACAATGTAGCCACAGCTGCCCTGGGGCGCACTGACAGAGGCGAGGCTGCCGAGCACTGGCGCCACTGGTCCTTTCCGACCACCACCAGCAGGCAAGGTGGGTTAAGTGTCTTGCCCAAGGACACAACGACAGTGACAGACTGAGCGGGGATCGAACCTGCAACCTTTCAATTACGGGGCGAGCACTTAACTCCTGTGCCACCGCCGCCATTAGGGTCAAAGATCCCTGGGAGTGCAGTTTTCGAACGACTACAGGTCGTTCAACCTCCAGCAAAATGACAAGCACATCAGACTCCTTTTCATGTGACTGACGAGGTAAATGTGTAAAACAACATTTATATATGGAGAAAGTTTTGTAAATGCATTTTGTCCGTAGAAGGAAACATTGCATCTAAGGCCCAATCTCAATACTCGCGGTCTTCAGCAAAGTGCACTTGAAGAAAGGCTTACAGTGGGTAGTAACACATGTCGGGATGCTGGGTGATGTGATACCTTTATTAAAAACCTTTATTAACAACTTTCAAACAAGCAACCAAACAATTATTTCTGCACTTCACAATCGTCATCGGTTTTGGGAAAACACGCACTTCACCCAAGTCGCAAGTGCGAAACAATCAATCAATCAAAGATACTTTATTAATCCCAGAGGGAAATTAGAGTTTCAGTACACACAATTCTGAGATCAGACATACATAGGCAAAGACACATGACAAGAATTGGTGACTGTGGTCATTCGCAACCCTGAGTCGCGCTAACTTAATAGAGATAAGAGGGGTTTATATGAGGATTGGTTCAGGTGGAGGGAAAAAAAGGCACTTCAGAGTTACCCTCCACCGGGAGGGCAGCTTTGCTCTGCAAAAAAACACCTCAACAGATATGCAACAGGCTTCAGACAACACAACATAAGTGTCCACTGGGGTGGTGGGTTGGGACTATCCCCATTTCAGTTCCTGCAGCCACGATAAGCAGCGCATGTCACCTCAGTGTGGATAGGGGGAGGAGCATTGAGGTTTGGAGGGTTGCAGTGACCCTGGAACGTTTCAGCGGCCTTCCCGCAGTCCCGCCCAGGCTGGGAAAGGAGACGGAGTTGAGTTGCCATAGCGACAGCACATTCCACATATCTTCTGACAAAAGGGGCGTGATCACCTTCCGCACTTGAGAATCAGGACGCCCATCGCACTCGCAACCCTGGTGGGGATCGCGCAATTGAAGGGCACAATGGTGGAAGTGCGAATATTGAGATTGGGCCTAAGATGGCGACTTAGACCTGCTCCCATGTATTTTAGACCTGATTTTTATGGTTATATGTTCTGAAGCAACCAATATTTTTCAACAAATGGGCATCATTTAATTCATTTTCAACAACATTTTAATGGATGTTTCCAGAGAGTAACAGTAAAAACTACACATTGTGACTTTAATGCATTTCTCTAAAAAATTAATTCAAACCCTCAAACAAAAACCACAGACTTTCTGGTGTTTCATCCTATCGGGTTTCATCTAAAAATCCAGATTAACCCATGTAGATTAAGGCTGCTGGGGGAAAACCGTGTAAACTACATGTTTAGGAATGTCAAAGACAAACTGGCCAAACACGCTGGTCAAAGACCACCTCGGGCTCCTTCCAAGAAAAATAAGACAAAAGCCTGGCATCTGGTTTGTGGACAGAGCTACAAGGCTCAAATCCGTCATTGGAAGGAAAACCCTTCTAGGAAGGCGCAAATGTTTCTGGATTATTAAAGCATGGCTACGATTTGATTCTGTATTTTTGGAAACTGGGACTTCCAGGTAAAGAAAAGTGAGTATGTATATGAATCAGAGTGAGATCATGAGTATGGCTTCTTGTTTAATTGGTTCAACTGCTAGTAAACTCAAACAGACACTCTTCAAATGTGACGTGGTACTAGGGCTGGGCGAAATGGCCTAAAATCAATATCACGATATATTGAGGATTTAACATCAATAACGATAAATGGACGATAATTACAGGTATGTGCAGAAACAAAAGTTGTCCACTAGATGGATTACGTTGAGTCACATTTTTACGTAACTCAAGGTGGTACAGCTTCTTAAAGAGGCATGGATGTTGCTAACCTACACACATCTTTTGATTTTTTTATTATCAAATTTATTGACATGGGAAAAATTATCCCGATAAGTGTCAGAAATTTTGATAACGATACATTTTCGATTTATTGCCCAGCCCTACGTGGTACTATTTCTATGTGGTCTTTGGAGCACGCAAGTGAAAAATGTATTTGTTTCAAAGAAGATAGAAGCTGCGTAATGAGGTGGGGTCATATTCATGATTATTTAGATCAACTTACAATGACTCACTGAGGTCAAATAACACCAACACATCAGAATATTGTCAAAATAAGAGCACCGAGTGGTTCCCAAACAGCGCTCTGCAGGAGCGCGAGACCATATATTATGATCTGTGTTCCCTTTCCCAGTTCTAAATCTGTTTATACTTACATTTTCTTCATGAGAATATTTTTCACCACTAATAAACGTAAAATATCTAGAGTTTACATTTTAAGGAGATTGCAGTTACTGATTTAAGCCAGCAGGTGGCAAAATTGTGCTACTTAGTGGCAATTAAAACTTCTAAGACAAAAATTATTTTTTGTATCACAATAGAAACAATTTAAACTACCAAAAATACCTCACATGAATGCTATTTACGCTAAAAGTAAATAAAAAAATGTATAGGCTTTAGACCAACTATTTGTGTTTATATTATATATATTTATATTTTCCTTGGTCAATCGCTCACAATAAAAGAAAACATGGATAGAAAACAGAGAAGAGCTGCTACGGGAGCCTGGATGTCCAAGATTAATTTGCTAAACTAAAAGTATTTTTCCTTTATTCTCCCTAAAAGATTATAATCTAGAGGGGCGAACAACGGTGGCGTGTGATGAGGTCAAATCCTTGTCTGAAACATGGTGGCAGCTTCATCATGATTCGGGGCTGCGTGTCAGCCGGTGGTGTTTTACCAAAACTGGTGACAGTTGTGTCACATTGTGATTCACCATTTCTGATCAGCGTCATAGAGACAGCAGCTGCTTGTCAGAATGAAAATGCAGCAAAAACACAAACTTAACCGCTTGAATTATAAGAAACCTTGACTAAAATAATTCAGGTTTTCTTCAGGAATAAATTATTCAGGCCTCCAAAATCATGTGTGTCCCGTTTATAACATTTCTGCATAAACCAACAGTAGCTTTGTAAATGCACAGGAAAGCTGGAAACCACAACCAGGAAGTCGCTGCTCACACTTCAATCTATCTGAACAGCCATTTGGAGTTATATTAGTGGAGGAAAAAATAAAAGCAAAAATGAAACTACAATTCAATGATAACATAGGCAAAGTAAAACTGGCTGAATTTTATTTGGCTAGCTTCCTCGTTTCACGCTGTTTTAATCACGTTACCTGTTAGCAGACCCACAGACAGCCGTGCCCTCACGGTTCTGGTGAAGAACTTCTCTTCCGCTCAATATTTTCCAACCAACATCCTCTCAGCCTCCAAAAATCCACAAACATTTAAGTGTTGTCGAAACAGATCTGAGCTATTTATAACTAATTTCCGGTCTTACATTTCAAAGTAAAAAAAACACCTTTTTGAAAGTCTTCATAGAAACAGAAAATGTTTTACAGTTTCGCTTGGTTTAAGTTTAAAACCTGCAGAAAGTGACAAAAACAATTGAGATTTTTTTAAAGCGGTTTTGTTGCTGAATTATGAAAAACACTACTTTTAATTTGAAGGTAACATCAACAGTGGTGGTTTAAATTGGTTTCAATACAACAAACTTGACGTAATCAGCGTCATCTCAGAACGTAAATTCCACCGAAGAGGGCGTAAAAAGATTGACAGTTTAAACAGCCAACCAGCATCAAGCTCTGATCCCTAGGGCGGGATAAAGTTGTTTACTTATTGGCTGTGTTCGAGATGAGCCAGTTCTGCGCAGATTGGATCAGCGGTGATCGGCAAGCAGTGCTTGCCGGTTAGATTTGTGTCCGACTTGACGCCGACTTGCTCTGACGTCATGCATACGTAGGCAACGATAACCTCATGAGATCAAGGCAGCCGCAGATTTTGGAGCAAGGCGCTGCAGTTTCTCTCCACCGGCTGCAAAACCTAGGGGATGACGGGAAACGCCTGGCTCTCACCTGATCTAAGATCTGATTGGTTCATATTTTGATCCAAACATCCGGTGGTAGAACATGAAATGTTATTTGAACATTATAGGCCATAAAGAGAAATGTGATTTGTGTTCTTTTGTCACGTTTCCTATGAGCACACTAAACCTACAGCTGATAACCTTTACTTATTATTACAGTCATGTCTTCATATACAATATATGATATCCACAAGCACGTGAGGATGTGTTTCAGCTGCTAACAGGCACCAGAATTAAAATCGAAAATTAAACAAGTGAGAACGCTAACGCGATATCTTCATCCATCGTCACCCGCGAGCTACACGCTGGAAATTGTGTCTTTCAGCCACCTGCTGCTTCCATCTGCTCTCGTCTGTTTTCCAGGCGAGGCGCAGCTCAACTCGAACACGGCCATACATATTTATATATATGTATCTATCTATCTATCTATCTATATATATATATACATATATATACTGAGTTCTTCAATTTGTCGTTATAGATAAAAAATATTTTGAAAACCCAAATATATTTGTTTTGGTGCAAAATCTGTCATTAAGATAAATCTAAATTATATTTCTAAATGAAATATCTATCTATCTATCTATCTATCTATCTATCTATCTATCTATCTATCTATCTATCTATCTATCTATCTATCTATCTATCTATCTATCTATCTATCTATCTATATATCTATATATATATACATATATATACTGAGTTCTTCAATTTGTCGTTATAGATAAAAAATATTTTGAAAACCCAAATATATTTGTTTTGGTGCAAAATCTTTCATTAAGATAAATCTAAATTATATTTCTAAATGAAATATCTATCTATCTATCTATCTATCTATCTATCTATCTATCTATCTATCTATCTATCTATCTATCTATCTATCTATCTATCTATCTATCTATCTATCTATCTATCTATCTATATATCTATATATATATACATATATATACTGAGTTCTTCAATTTGTCGTTATAGATAAAAAATATTTTGAAAACCCAAATATATTTGTTTTGGTGCAAAATCTGTCATTAAGATAAATCTAAATTATATTTCTAAATGAAATATCTATCTATCTATCTATCTATCTATCTATCTATCTATCTATCTATCTATCTATCTATCCATCCATCCATCCATCCATCCATCCATCCATCCATCCATCCATCCATCCATCCATCCATCCATCCATCCATCCATCTATCTATCTATCTATCTATCTATCTATCTATCTATCTATCTATCTATCTATCTATCTATCTATCTATCTATCTATCTATCTATCTATCTATCTATCTATCTATCTATCTATCTATCTATCTATCTATCTATCTATCTATCTATCTATCTATCTATCTATACACACACACACACACACACACACACACACACACACACACACACACAACAGACATAATGTATCTCCCTTTGAAAGCAGAACATGCTAAGCTTGTGGGCTTTCTGTTGCATGAATACATTTGAACCTGGAAGTGAAACAATGGTAGCAGATGGCAGAAGAGTTTCACAAATCACTTTCCTTTTGGCAAATGTTGGCTTTGGATGTCTTGAGTTTATTTGTAAGCTCAATGAATTGACTTGCTCGATAAAACAAATTTTGCAGAAACAGATCTAGCCAAACTGGCCATTCAATACACTTTTCATAAGTTTGTTTGTTTGTTTGTTCATTCGTTCATTCATTTGTACATCTGCTTCTTAACCAAAACCAGGTTACAAGGCCAAATTACGAGGCCTAGATAGATCCCTAGACCTCAATCTGAATATTTTAATCCAGAGGGTCTCAGTGCGGTCACATGTGCACTGACTGACATCCAAGCCGATCCAGGTCGATCTTATTGTAATAAGCTGGGAGTCTTTATCCTAGTTTACATGCAAATTAGAACACCGGCCTCTCAAATAAGGTTCTTTCCACTCCGGTACAGTAGGTGGCGACATCCCTCTTTTCATGTCGGCATTCTATCGGTTAGCTTATAGCAACACAAGCAGTACACAGAGGCTGGTGGGAAGTGAAGCAGACAGAGTTGAAATAGGATATGCACAATTGCTGAAGGAATGCACAACAACGCTGCAGCACAGCTTGTTTGGTACGTACTGTTCTCCTTTATGGTGTTACGCATGTTGCTTTGTGACGATGGTCTTGTCTGCGTTCTCGTCACTTCCACAACGCGAGCGTCCTACCAGTTTAGTTCGGCTGACCCGATTACATGCGGAACGTATTCAGATTACTAACGCATTATCTGGGTGCTTCAGCTCGATTAGAACCAGTTTGCCTTCAGCCAGACTAACGTGTTTACATGCGTGTGAAAAAACAGACATGAGTCTTTTGAGGGGAATCCTTCGGTTTTCTGATGCACATGTGAACACACTGACTGAGGCTTTCAGAGTAACTGCAAGATTCCACCTCTTCTTGGTGGGAAAACTCAGAAACACCTCTTACGGAAGGCATCCAGAGATTACTTTATCAGATGCTTGAACCATCTTGGCTGGCTTCTATCAATGAGGACACCCTCATCTCCCTTTTATATCTGCTTCAATCTATCTCAGTTGTGAACAAGACACTGAGACCCTATAACACCTGGAGTAGGAACTCATTACCAACACGGATGGACCCAGACTTGGGCATGTGGATCTTAATCCCAGTTGCTTCACAATCAGCGGTAAATCAATCCAGATTTTGTAATTACATAAAAGCAGCAGTGAAAGGTTGTGTACTTTAGTTGTATTCTCCTTTAATGACTTGTCGTTTCATTCATCTAATGATGAATGTACGTAATGGTACGCTTTGATTAGGTAGTCCTTTCTTGGCATCAAACCGATCTGCTGTGTACCTTGGCACCCACTGCCTGACCTCGTCTCCCAGAATTGGTCTCTTCAAAGTGCGTGGTAATGAACCCCCAGATAAAGTTGAGAACAAATTTGAAGAACCAACATTTTCCCACAGAAGCCAGTTACTGGGTCAGTGGGGTGCTTTATGAGGAGCCCAGATTTCTCTGCACCTAATGAGATCATAGTGAAGACCAAAGAAATGAATTGGGGTATGAGGTTTCAGAGGTGAAAGTAGAGAATAGAAACTCATCATGCAGACGAAATGGTCAAAAAGTCACCCCAGCCAGTCTTACTCCACTCCCACTTCCTGTTTGAAAAAGTGCAACAAATGTTGTTGCCTGGCAGAAGGAGAGGGCGGAGCTGCTAAAAAATACACACACACACACACAGGCTCACAACAACATTGTGACATCATAATGTTCCAAGGAATGTCATAGTGTACCTCTTAGCCAATAGCAATGGCAGATTTAAGTTCAAATGCAATGCAGTTTTTACCTGAAGAGGGCGCAGTACTGACAGTTTTAGGCAGAATATTTAAATTTTAACTACGAGCTAAAGTGCAACATTATTGACTACACGTGTCCACAGCATGATCAGACAGTTATTTGTATGGTTTATCAGCAAAAAATAGTTGATTTGCGGGTGACATGCTCTTTAAACAGAAGACTAGGCAGCTTTGCTTGCTTTTAGAACCAAAATCAAAACCTATCTACTCACTTCATTTTTTAACACCTTAATCTAAAAGCCTAAATGTCTCCCAAACCTTTATTAGTGTCTACAGGAGTCGTTCATCACTAAATTAAACAAATCAGCTGTGTTCATGATCTAAACCATGTAGGAAATGTCCTGGAAGCAGACTGCAGCGCTAGCGCTGTAGCGCTAGTCCAACAGACCGGACCGCCACTCTGAAGTTGCAAATGCGGTATTCTGGCCACAGAGGGCGGTGGGGGTCTGAGGGACGTTTCATTAACTCTGTAAAGGTTCATTTATAAAATTATTTAAAAATATGAAAAAGTTGTTACCTTTAATGTAAACCCATCAACATCACTGCATCTCCTGAGTTAAAAATGAAGTAAAAACAATCAGACATTAGCAAAAAAAAAAAAAAAAAGAGAAATCTAAACATACAATATATACTGTAAAATTCGTAGATAAACACATCCTCATCTTCATCATCAGCCTCTGAGAAGGCAGTCACCTGAGGATGATTGACCTAAAGTCACGCTTTAGAAGAATTGGATCCACTTGTCAATAAACCACCTTTTGGTGAGTGAAAAAACTCTGGACTTCTAATCTGTTGTTCTTTGTTTCATGCAGCTGCTGTGTTTGTGTTGTTGATGGGATGAGCTGATGGTGGAGTGGGTAGTCACTGTTTCTAAATATAAGTGGAGTTGAGCTGGCAAGAATGTTCTCACTCAGATGGTTGGAAGGCGGCTGCTGTCGCGTGGCCTTGTAAAACTGACTTATCCAACGATCTGTCCATTTATAGATAAGATAAGTAGGCATAGTCTACAAATTCATCTCTATTGTCCAGTTCCAATGAGGGACAACGAAGCTCGAACTTTGACACAAACATTCAAGCATTGGACATTGCAGTGGAATTAAAGACATCATTGTTCACAGGACAAAAGTAATAATTTCACATGATTCTTACACATTTACTGCTAAACTGAACTTTACTACCCGCTGAAAATTGCTAGCTAAGAATAGCTAGCCCGGGGGCACAGAGTTGTAAAATCTTGGTCAACACAATGATAGTATATTAATATCTTCACTTGATGAAGAATCAGGCCAGTTCCATGTGACTTTATTTTTTTTTATTTTATTACTTTTCTAAATAACTGGTGAAAATAAGTTGAGAAGTAGACTTATATTCGTTGGACCGGATGTCGACTCTACTAGAAATTGAAACATCTGCCAGAAAGTGGATGGTCTTTAACAGGTTCTTCTCTAAACCCCTGTATTTGTGTAAGGCATTGTTAGTCAGAGGACTCCAAAGCGATTAAAGGTTGGTTTATGCTTGACGCGTCCGCGAGGTCCGCGCGGAAAAGTTGCGTCATTTTGCGTCATTTTAACAACCACGCCCCTCCACCGCGTCTCCGCACGGCCCAAGATTTCCGCAACGCGCACCTCGGAAAATTTCTAACCACGCGGACGGACGGACGCGGAAAAACATGGCGGACCAGCACGGCAGAGGTTCATAAATACAGACATTTGTATGATTCAGCTCTCAGAGATCACCGTGATCAACATGTTGTTAATAATTCTTGGAGAGAAATAGCTCGCACTGTCGGAAAAGACGAGGACGCTGTTAAAAATGCTGAAATAACATGTTATAAACAGTAATTTCTACTTCTACTATGGTGTAGTGTTGGATGCATGCTGTAGAGCTCCATGCTGCCCCGTTCAGTTTGGGAGAATATTGGCTCACCGCAGAGACAAGCCGCACAAACCATAAACGCTGCGAGTTGTGAAGCGCGTTCCAGCCGCGAGCCGCATCACCGCGCGGAAAGTGAATGCGTCAAGCATAAACCAAGCTTAACACTGCAGTCCGTCATTTAAAAATTCACACACACTTTCCCAAACTGGTTGATATAAGCTACAGTTATGGCTGTTACATGCATACTGACCAACGATTGATCCAGGTTGGTCTTACTGTAATAAGCTGGGAGTCTTTATCCTAGTTTACATGTGCATTAGAAACCAACCTCTCAAATAAAGATTGTTCCACTGCTGTGCAGTAGGGGGCGACATGCACCCTTTCATTTAGGCATTTTTCTGGTTAGCGTATAGCAATACAACACTTTTGAAATGCATGTAAGAACGAAAAGGATCTTTTATAAAGCGCCTCTCCAGTTAAAAATCAGAAAGCGCTTCACAAGAACAAAAAAAATTCTAAATACAAAAAAAAATACCTTCAAAAAATTATTCAAAAACATGGTTAAAGTTAGAAGAAAACAAAATTATAAATAAAATTAATCATTAAAAAGGGACCTACTGATGTAAGGAAGGTGAAAAATTAAAGAAAAATTAAAGAACATGAATAGAAAAGAAGGAAATCAATGGATCTCGGGAACGGTGGATTTGGTAGAAAGAGCAGGACAAGGAGAGGGTGGTGATGAAGGTCACACCAAGCCAGTCTGATCAGGTGAGTTTTCAGCTGCTTTTTAAAGGAGACCACTGAGTCCACTGATCTCAGGCTCAGGGGGAGAGAGTTCCAGAGTCTGGGGGCCACAGCACCAGATGATCTGTCACTTCTGGTCTTTAGCCTGGTGCGCTGCACATGTGAACACCTTATTCCGGCTGAAGTTGAACCAAACTGGATTAGTCCTAATCGAGCTAACGTACCCAGATAATGCGTTTAGAAAACCGAATTCTCTACGTGTAAACGACATCCCAGCTTAGCTGAGCTGTGACCAACCTGGGCAATCCCCCTTCCAGAGTCGCCAAAACCGTGGATGCGGTCTTCTGATAAAATAATTGCCACAGGCCTCAACAAGACTCTGACGTGTAACACCATCAAAGAGTAGAGTACAAACAAAATGTACTGTGCTGCCGCATTGTTGTCATCCAGTGATTCAGCCATTGGGCACAACCTGCCTTTACTCCTGCTTTTCTCTCGCCGCTGTTTACCACTACTGTGCTGCTACAGGAGGATCTCTGTTGACATCGTTGTGCACATGCACAAGTGGTTGGGTGGCAAGAGAACATGCAATACGTCCTGCTGTCATGTGCAACCATGGACGTAGTTTTGACTTTAGAAGTGCTGTGTTACAGCCAAAACTGCAACTACAGACTACAAAGAAATGCTGATTATGGTCTTTCTTCAAGGAGAATTATCGATTAATACAACTCCAAATAAATATGGTGTGCAATACCCAGCAAACATGGGATCCTTGGGTTTTGGTCAGTCTAAGATGGTGAAAATGACTTTGTGATGTAAAATCATTCAGACATGAGTCAGAGTTGTAAAAGGTGAGAAGGGCAAAGCCACCTTAGGTGACCAGTGATTGCGTCCACATTACTACTTAGGCACCCCTCACATGGTCCACTCCACCCCTGGCATTCACCCTCAGAGCTGCTTTGGGACGGAGCCGATTGGATCTGGACGAGAATCAGCTGCAAACTGAGACAGCTCACACGAGACACAAGCTCACATCTGAACTGGTTCAAACACACGCTGACGAGCAGAGGGTTGTTCCTCCAACCATGACGGATTCTGCTGCTGAGGAGGACAAGGACCCTGATATTGAACTATTTGTCAAGGTGAGCTTTTGAGGTATTTTTGTATGTACTGATCACAATGTCTTGTTTACTTTCAAAACTCTGCATGACTGTTTTTATTTTAAAGTCATGCGTGTTGTCTAGAAATGTTGCTTTAATGTTTGCAAGTGGAAAAGGTGGCTCAAACCTCTGAAATGATCAGCAAGCGGCGTGTGTCCAGAGCGGCTCCTTTAAGAGCGTGCATGCCTTGTTGTTGTTGTTGTTGGGTGCAGATTTTCCGTGTGATAACCTGATACCCACGTGTACTGGCAATCTCTCCCCTTCTCTTTCCCACTGAATTATTTCTGGGGTCCCTTCAGTATTAAGAGCAGCATCTTAAAATAGTTATTTATTGATTGTCTAAATTATGTAGAAACATGTTGCTTATTAATGAGCAAACTTTGAATGTGTGCATTAGTTTGCTGGGCAAAACATGATGCTTATATGTGCAGATAAAATGAGATGTAGAAATATGGAAAACATCTCAGTTTTGACTCCATTTGAAACCATTTTGTCATTTTCAGCAGGAGCTTTATTGAAATTTGTACTACGGTAAATATTTCAGTTTTTATGTTATGTTTGTTTTAAAAAGACATGTGAAGTTGACCTGTTAGTCTTGTTATTTTTATAGGAATACTGACTTACATTGTACTACAAGCTGCATTAGCCTTGATTTAATATTAAAAATGTGTTTTTCTTACTGTGGAAGTTAAAGGGTACATGACTGGATCGGGTGAGTTAAGGGCTGTTTGGAAAACCTGACTTAAAAGGTCAACTTGGCTGAAAAAAAGGATTTTTGTTAATTTAATTGGTCAATGAGTTTTTCGTGCAGGCTGAACATGAAAATAGTCTCCTACGCCTCTCTCCCGCATTAGCTTCTGATAGAAAATTGACGGTAAAACGCTAGGATCTGAAAATCCTGACAGATCTACATCACACTGTCACTTAACATTCATGGATTCACCCATCTTGGCTCACGACAAGGAAGGCTGAGGTTGGTTTAGCGTTCAGAAAACAGCAGAGAACGTCTTGGCTAGTAGAAGCTAACCGTTTGCATTTGTAACTCCACCACACAGCAGAACTCCTTCAGACTTGTGATATTTGTGGAAATAAAACATCAGAGCAAACAGAATCAGTGGTAGAGTTGACTGATTACTGTTAGCCAATCGGAGGAGAGATGTTCATTTTTCAGGCAATAGGAGTCCTAAGCCTACCGTCTTCTGCCACTTTTTCCTTCAGCTGACTTCTCCATGCTGAAACGGGTGCACCGGAACTTTTATTCCCCAGTGTGCGACTGACAAGGCATTCATTTCTACTAGAAACCAAAGCAAATATATTAACAACAGGAGTGAGGTTGGTCGGTGACACTCCGTTTAAAGAGTATGTCGTCTGTGTTGTTTTTGCAAATTTTATATAGATTTAGAACTCTAGCTGAATTAACATTTATAGGAAATTCCTGAAACGGGGAAAACTCCAGATTGCAGCTATAAATTTGTATCAAAATGACTAAAATTATGCATAAAATTCTTTACTTTTTTTTCCATGCAAAAGAAATCAATGTTAGCTTCTTTAGGAATTTCATAGATAGGCTCCGATCCCTAAATGAAAAAAAAAAACTTGATTTGAAAACTGCTTTATGTAAAATTAGCATGTTTCCTTAGAGTGATTGTAGCTGCAAAATAGAAAGTTACATTATTTTTTAAGCTCATACACACGTTTACCGTTTCAGAACCAGAGGTTCAAATGTGCAGTGAAGCGGCTAATGGAAGCTCTGTGTATTATTCATGTTGAACTGGTGTCTCATTACAGTGTCCTGTTGCAGCTTCACACATGCAGACACACAAAAAAGCAAGCCACTAACTCTGACTTGTAATCGCATCTGGCAAAGCTTTAGATTTATATTCTCAGCACCTACATGAAACTCTCTGTTTCTGAATGCCCCATTGATGTGCATTAAGGTCACATGTCCCCACAAACCACATTGACCAGAACATGATTATAATGGTCTTATATCTATTGTAGAAGCCTTATGTTCTGCTGCTGCTTTCTTTTATCTTCAGTGTGCCTAATTCTAAACCGTAACTGTGACGTGTGTGTGTGTGTGTGTGTGTGTGTGTGTGTGTGTGTGTGTGTGTGTGTGTGTGTGTGTGTGTGTGTGTGTGTGTGTGTGTGTGTGTGTGTGTGTGTCTACAGGCTGGAAGTGATGGTGAAAGCATTGGAAACTGTCCTTTCTCCCAGCGCCTCTTCATGATCCTTTGGCTGAAAGGCGTAGTCTTTAACGTGACTACCGTTGACCTCAAACGGTAATGATGACCTGTCCTACCTAGAGCTTTCATTCTAGACTTTACATTTCATCTAAACAAATATCGAAGAAACTTTTTTTAATTTAGAGACCAATTGTTTCTCAACTTCGCCTAGACTTAAAGATAAACTTTGTTCAATGGTTAAAAGCAAATGTATTTGTCAAATTCTGTATTGCATTAAAAGTTACAGTCCCATTAGTTATCACACACTGGTGAATGCATTTCTCCGCGTTTGACCCATCCCCTGGGCGAGCGGTGAGCTGCAGACAAGGCTGCGCTCTGGACCTATTTGATGGTTTAACCCCCCAATCCAACCTCTTAAAGCTGAGCGTCAAGCGGGGAGGGCATTGGGTTACATTTGTCAAGTTTTTGATATGACCCGACCGTGGATTTGAACCCACAATCTCCCAGTCTCAGGAGGGACTCATAACACTAGGCCACTGAGCTGGTTTATAACATTCAAACCATCCACTTCTCCTTCCTACTGCTTGTTGAACCTACCTGAGCCTCAAAACTATTCAGTGCAGTTTCTGGTCAGCAGATGCGGAGATGCTCAAGTTCATGGCTAAAGAACCACTGAAACCAGTTCGAAAACAATAAGGAAGGAGGTCTTAAGATCGAAGTAATGTTAGCTAGATGGAGCACACCCAAAAAAAAAATAATTCTACTCTGAACTCTGTATAATAATATACCAAAATTATAATGATAAATATAAAATTGCTAATTTAAATCTGATTAAAACTGTTCTTTTAAATGCATGTTTTGGACCAGAAGCGACTTTCAAAAAATAGTGGTTGAGTTACGGCCTAAAAATATCTACATTCTGCGTGTAATAATGCCAGAAAATTTAATTTATTGAGTTTATCATTGATTGCGTATTTAGAAAATGTTTTGTATCTGAACAGAAAACCAGCTGATCTTCACAATCTGGCTCCAGGGACACATCCGCCATTCCTCACCTTCCAGGGCAACGTTCTCACTGATGTCAACAAAATAGAGGAATACCTAGAGGAGATGCTGGCTCCACCAAAGTAGGCCATGAGCACATGAGCACACATTAGGGATGCACCTATATGAAAATATGGGCCGATATTGATATCCAATAATAATATCGCTGTTAAACCCGACAGCCTATATTTACCAATATTACATTCATATAAGAAGGAATGTAAGAAAATTTCAATTCACTGAAATATTGTGATATTTTGTGTAATGACACTGAATCGATATTTAAAAGCAGCACATGCTTTTTTTTATTTCCACGCAAACATTTGCTATACATTTTTTTGTGCGATAACACTTGGAGGCATCCGGCCTGTTTTTCAATTATGTTCAGTCAAAAATGTCACAAATATTGTCTGACTTAAGCTGTCGCAAGATATTTGGCCAGATTATTGCCAATAAAGACCCAAGTTTAAGAAAGATTTTTTATTTATAAAGGGTGGCTTGCCACCTCCGGGTCGGGGGAGAGGTCCTACCTCAAGTGGAGGAGTTTAAGTATCTCGGGGTCTTGTTCACGAGTGAGGGTAGGAGGGATCGGGAGATCGACAGGCGGATTGGTTCGGCGTCTGCAGTGATGCGGACGCTGAGCCGATCTGTCGTGGTGAAGAGGGAGCTGAGCCAGAAAGCCAGGCTCTCAATTTACCGGTCGATCTACATCCCAATCCTCACCTAGGGTCATGAGCTTTGGGTAATGACCGAAAGAACGAGATCGCGGATACAAGCGGCCGAAATGAGGTTCCTCCGTAGGGTGGCCGGGCTCAGCCTTAGAGATAGGGTGAGGAGCTCGGACATTCGGGAGGGACTCGGAGTAGAACCGCTGCTCCTCCGGATCGAAAGGAGCCAGTTGAGGTGGTTTGGGCATCTGGTCAGGATGCCTCCTGGACGCCTCCCCGGGGAGGTGTTTCGGGCATGTCCTGCCGGCAGAAGGCCCCCGGGTCGACCCAGGACACGTTGGAGAGGTTACATCTCCAATCTGGTCCAGGAACGCCTTGGGGTCCTGCCGGAGGAGCTGGTGGAGGTGGCCGGGGAGAGGACGGCCTGGAACTCCCTAGTTGGGATGCTGCCCCCGCGACCCGGACCCGGATAAGCGGAGGAAGACGAGACGAGACGATAACATATTATTATCGTAAACTAACACTACACAGATGTACACTTCTGAGATGATTACTGTCCCCGTCATATAACCAAACAATTATGCATTATCACCCTCTTCTGAAACTGATACACAAATGGCTACTCGATGGAAAAAAAATATTGTTTGTTAATATCGGCCCAGTTTCACATATCGGACCAACACCAATATGTTAAAAAATTACTAAAATCATCCAATACTGATAGTTGATCATTAATCATGCATCCCTAGCACACATACTTAAAAAAATCAGGTGGACTGGACCAAATCCTGATCCTGAATTCTGTTTTTTCAGGTATCCCAGACTTGCAGCAAAGAACCGTGAGTCTAACATAGCAGGGAATGATATATTCGCCAAATTCTCTGCTTACGTCAAAAATACGAGGCCAGAAAAAAATCGAGGTGAGAACAAAATGTTTGTAACCTGTTGGATTATGGTCTTGTGAGCTGTAAATAATCCATGTGTTCCAGCATTGGAGAAAACACTAAACAAAGCTTTGGCTAAGTTGGATGAGTACTTGAAGACTCCTCTCCCTGATGAAGTTCAGTCAGGATGCCTCAGTGGTGAGGGAGAATCCATCCGTAAATACCTGGATGGTGACGAGCTGACGCTGGCTGATTGCAACCTTCTCCCTAAACTTCATGTTGTCAAGGTACACCGCCTCTTATTGGTTTATTTTGGTCTGATCTTCAAATTTGGCCTTCAGAGCTCTTAACTTGTGTTGGCAGGTGGTTGCAAAGAAATTCAGAAACTACGACATCCCATCTGAATTCAGAGGGGTGTGGCGATACCTTGGTAACGCCTACAACCGCGACGAGTTCTCCAACACGAGCGCAGCCGATGTGGAAATCGAGCTAGCTTACAAAGATGTGGCTAAGCGACTTGGCAAATGAGCTGAACATACCGGCAAGAACAGCATCTGTTTTTCTTTGACTTGTAATAAATCATCTTTTAAAAGTACAGTAAATACACTCTTCACACTTGATATGATGTTTGTAACGCTAATGTGCTAAATAGGCTTAAACCAGGCGGAATAGCAGTGATTAATAACAGAATTAATCCATTTTAAATGTGTTATACAATAGCAGAGTCCTCAAAACAGTTTTAATGACAGTATTTTTCAGAAAATATTATGGAAAATCTTAAAACATTTGTTCTTTTTTAGTAATAAAGACACGGGTTTAAGCTAGCAAGGCAAGCGTTGCTTTTAAAACACCAATCTATCCAAAATAGTGTAATTAAATTATATTTATTGACTTTAAACAATGTTTATAGTAACATATGTCTATATACAGTATATATATCTAGCTAATTTCCAAATGTTCACTAATCCAGTGTTGTTGCTAAAGCTAAAATAAACAGCAAGCTAACTACTTTTGCAGGGAGGCTATTTTAAATGTTTCTCATGACATAATTTTAGGTGCATCGCCATGAGGGGCTCATAAATATGGCAGTTAAAGCGAGCTAAACCGTTTGTAGACTGGCAGAAATTTTATTTTAATTGGAATCACAGTGAGAATAAAATATTTATCGCCTCATATTTGATATGTATTTTTAGACTATTTTGAGTTCATATTTAGAAGAAGAAATTTGATAAGATAAGATATATTTAAAATGCCAGGGCTAATTCTGTAAAATGCCAGAAAAATTATTTCATTTTGTAAAAGCAAACCCCCTTAGAGGGAACAAAACAATCCTTTGGTAGAGTGCTGTTAATACTGCCATGTGTAATGTGAGGCTTGACTATTTAGCTTTACTGTGTTTTCTTTTGTCCATTGTCATTGAAGGGTTTGTTCTGTTTGCTGTTATTGTTAATGAAATGATGAGAATCTGTTTCAGACAAACTAGTTTGACCTTTGGCCCTTTTGTTGTATTTTGACACATTGGATTAACATCTTGAATTGGTCCCATTGGGATTACAGGATTAATTTGTTAAACTACAGTTTATAGCTGATGTTGATATCATCAAAATCAGCAGTTATTACATATTGGATATAAAATATCACACAATTAAACGTTTAATTAGTACAAATTCTGCAGTGAAATAATCACAAAACAGTCTAATGTCTCAATCAAGTTGGAGGAAAGGTTCTTTTGAAACAGACTTCCTACGAAGCTAGATGGGGGGTTGTCAGCTTTTCTACCTTTAAAAATGCTGAAGAGGGACGTAGACGTAGTCTGTGGGTGTTTCTTAATGTCAAGGCGCCTACTAGCCTCGCAAGGCGATGTCTTGCGAGGCTAGGCTCCTTGCTTACAAGAACACTGTCCTTCCCTGGTCAAAGAAAAGGTTAAATGGAACAGACTTGCATCACGTGACCGCGGCTTTTGTGGCAGTCACGTAACGTCAAGTGACATGGGAGATAGCGTTATGTATTATACGTATAAGTTTCAATATAAATATATAACGAGTCTTTTACTTTTTAAATTGTGTGTATATTTGTTAAATTAAATACATAAGCGAGTTACTACCTGCTAGCCACCGAAACTGCAACTACTAAGCTAACTAACCAACCATAGATAACTTCTTAGATCTAATAAACATTTTAAATTAGTTGACTTACATTTAAACTTGAAATTTGCCGCCGAAGTAGATGCCGGCTTCTGATCCACCATCCTTTTTAAAATACTGCGATGTATTCTGGGAAATTTTTGACCAAGGCTAGGCTACAAGACACCTCACGTGTATCCTTGCCCAGCTAGCTAAACGGCTAACAAACGGAGAACAGACGCCTCAGTAGAACATGAACATTGGAACAGGCCTTCCTGATGACCTATCTCCTAGGCAACCGGGGCGGGACCAAGACATCAAGGCAAGGTTCCTTGGCATTGAGAAACACCCTTTGTTTACTATCTGCCTTGCCTCTATACATCCTGGTTCCAGAGCCAATCATGTGAGCCCATGGGGTTGCCAAGTCGTCAACACAACCACTGCTCTGGTGTTTTGTAATTCAACACTGGCCAGCAATCAGCATCAGACTTGTGGACAGGATGCTAGCCAGTAAAAGGAATGACCCAGAAGTTATTTCTTCTAACCCTAAGAATCAGTATTTTACTTTTATTCTCACATCAAATAAAGAAGACTAGAGTTAACGCAGAGCTATTTATTTATCTACTTATCAGCTTACTGCGTATGACTCTTCATCATATAGAGTCTTCCGGCGCTGAGCCCTAACCAGCAACAGCCATGGCCACAGGAAGGGGAGTGGGCTCCTTTGTTTTTATACATAGACTGCAGTACTCAAATTTAACCACAAGATGTCATCATTACTCGATGCAGCTTTAATCTGTTAAATCAACTTAAAAATAAAAGGTAAATCTTAAGTGCCCCTAAAAGAACCAACTCTCTTACTTTATTTTATTTTTTGGTATTGTGCACACTGATGGAAGAGAGGTCCTCTGATCATGAGTGCCTTAGTGGGAATCAAACTCACCTTAACTTTATTTTCATTTCTACAGTGAAATATGTGTTTATTCATTTATTGTCAGTGGTATTTTTTTCCATGTTAAGTATTTTTTCCTGTTCTTTATGACTGCGTGCAATAATGATAATATGTAATATATTATGTGATTAAAAAGACTCTGCTAAAAATATGTCTGTAAATCATCAAAAACAACTGTATATTTATACCACAAACCACTGTGTATACTGTTTTCCTTATTTGTAATAAAACATATTTTCTCAGAATAGGTGTTGCATGGTTTGTTTTTCTGGAAATTGCCTCATACAAAAATAAAATGTGTGTTCATACGCAAGAGAGAGGGACGGCCACCTCCAAGGGAGGATGAGGGCTAATTCTGTAAACAAACAGCGTTTAGCTTTCCACTGTGTTGGCAAAATATTACACAAAGGAGTCTTAAAAAGCTTTATCGTGATTGGTTAATGCTGATTAACAATTGTGTCTATTTATACCTAAACTAACACAAATCAATACTTTATCATCGTGATTCTTGATCCTGATGTTTAAATTAATTCAGGGAAAAAACACACACCATTCATTACAGTCATGACTGGAATAGGGCAGCAAAAGCTGACTTCTTCAGATTCTGTGGAAGTGTTCACGTGCCGACCAGCAGGTGGCAGTAAACACAAGGTTTTTGTTTCCAAATGAAGGTGTCCAGTTAGGGATCTCCCCCCGTCTCCTGTTCTCTTTTACCCATACTTTACTATTTATTTAATTAGTGGTTTCTGGTAACTATATGCTATTATTTATATTTATTAGATCTAGAGTAGAGGTTAATCAAAAGAAAAGTGTGATCTGCATTGATTTATTTTGATAATTCTTGATCATGATTGATAATTTATTGAATTTAGATTTGTTGAAAGCTTATTTGGGTGACGGTAAAACTGTTTCTACTGATATATAGAAGTAAAAAGATCAATGTTGTGATACAATTATCAACTGTACATGCAATATTTTAAATGCGTTATAGGTTTTGCAACACAAAATCCATTGAATTGCTCCTTTATTCTTTTTAAAATAGAAAACAATGTGTAAAAATGGACTCAAATTTGAGAAACACTAACGTTTCTGAAAAATACACTTCAGTGATTTGAAATGCTTTTTCAAAATTTATTTTAAAATTTTATTTTCTAGGTTAATTCCCCTGCTGCTGTATTCACAAAAAACTGGAGATATAATCTTTTCTTTTTAATGGTGAGCAGCACACACACACACACACACACACACACACACACACACACACACACACACACACACACACACACACTGTTGTTAATAAAAGAAATGAAGGAGCAACATATTGCGCAGTCACACGCTAAACTCTCACACAATTACCATGGGGACCAATTTGGTGTACCACCCTAAAAATTTCTTGTTAGATCCGCCTCTGTCTTCAGCACCATGACGACGACGTTGTGTTGGTGTACGTTTTCGTGAGGGTTGATAACACGCACACGGTCCCTAACCGTGTCTCTCGCTGAGAGCTGAGCGAGCGCAGAAGGTGGCGAGCCTGCCTGGAATTCAACCTTCGGTCCGCTTCGATCGGTCCTCCGCCGGGTTGGAAGTCGTTGTGCTGCCTCCTAACACCACCGACGGGCTACCGTAACTAAGGTAAGGCCGGTTCATGTCACCTTTACAGCGACGGAGCTCGTTTTGGGGCTCCGCGGGATCAGAAAACGAGGCAGCTATTGAGAGGAAGGCGCAGTGTGTGTGTATGTGTTTGTGAGAGAGAGTGGGCGATTTGTCATTGCGGAGATGTTTTTGTCGGTGGTCGAGCTCAGCAGCGCGGTTGAGGGACGGCAGTTGACCGTGACATGTGAAGCTCTGGATCCGGAAAGCTAATGCTAGCTGAATGTGGACGCTGCAGCGCGCGACCGACCGAGGGTCCCATTGTTACTCCTTGCTAGCTTTTAATGAAAGTAGCTGTGATGAAGGGACAATATAAGAGGACAGGCTGTCTCTGAGGAGAATTTGTGTAGGAACAGGTTGTTGAAGGAGAACTGACTGGTTAGCCTTGAGTTTGTTTTGTTTTTATTACAATAACCTCTAAACCAAAACGCTCTCGTCTTTGAAACGGGGGTTTCATTGAGGTGGAGAGAGGGTCGTTAACATGTCGCCATGTCCGTGACTGACGACCTTCTTCCTCGCCGACAGCTCTCCACTTCCCCGGTTCTACACAAACATGTCCGAGCTCTTTATTCCGCTACAATTTCATTTGACAAACTGTGGAACTTGAATCCATTCTCAGATTTTATATAATACAATTACAGTGAAGGAGTTAATCTATAAACAGTTAACATTCTGTGTAAATCCCAGTTGTAAATGCACCGATTCTGTTTTTGAAGGACCAATACGATTACCGATTTTCACCTTCTGAGGTGAGCTGCCACCCGCACAAAACAAAAAGTTTCACCTTGTCATGTAATGACTTAATATCTTTATTGTTCTAACATTGTAATTTTCATGATATATCATGATGTATGAGGCCAGAACAGTCTCAATAAGAATTAAGTCACACAACGTTTTCCACAAATGCACACGTTCATTCGGAAATCCACATTCTGTGTTTCACAAATATAATTCGGAGGAACACAAATGCACACGCTCATTCGGAAATTCACACTCTTTGACTCATAAATATAATGTGAAAAAATAAGTCACGCAACATTTTCCACAAATGCACACGCTAATTCTGAAGTTCACACTCTGTGGTTCACAAATATAATTTGTAAGAACACTTGTAATATAAACTCAGATCATACGAATTGCTGAATGTGCATTTACGAACAGCTTCTCATTTGTGAACCTTTCTGCGTTTGTGAGTGAAATCTGTGTGGTGCATTCACGGACAGCTTCTCATTTGTGAACCTTCCTGCATTCGTGAGAGAAATCGGTGTGCTGAATTTTGAGACTCTCCTAACGTCGCAGGTCAACAAACGTCACCATTGGCTAATGAACCTGTCAATCAAATATATGCTTCTGCCAGGGCTGTTCGCTTTCAGCCAATGGCTCCTTATGTTACAGAACAGATCTGCTGTGCGCATAAGTCGGACACAATTTCCTGCATGTGTAGCTCGGGGGTGACGATGGATGAAGATATCGCGTTAGCGTTCATACTTGTTTAATTTTCAATTTTAATTCTGGTGCCTGTTAGCAGCTGAAACACATCCTCACGTGCTTGTGGATATCATATATTGTATATGGAGACATGACTGTAATAATAAGTAAAGGTTAGCAGCTGTAGCTTCAGTGTGCTCATAGGAAACATGACAAAAGAACACAAACCACATTTCTCTTTATGGCCTATATAGTTGTCATCATTAACGTTACATGATTTACAGAATACATGTGACCAACTAACATTTCATGTTCTACCACCGGATGTTTGGATCAAAATATGAACCAATCAGATCTTAGATCAGGTGAGAGCCAGGCGTTTCCCATCATGCCCAAGGTTTTGCAGCCAAGGGAGAGCAACTGCAGCGCCTTGCTCCAAAATCTGCGGCCGCCTTGATCTCAAGTGGTTATCGTTGCCTACGTATGCATGACGTCAGAGCAAGTCGGCGTCAAGTCGGACACAAATCTAACCGGTTACATTACATTACCAACGCTCCACCATATGGGTGGCCTCTTAATAATCTTATTCAGAAAAATTATGCATTTTTACTAAGTGAAAGCAAACCCGTTAGGGGCAGAGACCTCTTGAAGCTCATATTAAACATTGTCTGCAGAGAAGGTAGGAGAAGCTAGTAAATCATCAGGCCTATTCCATGGGAGTGACTCTGAAAAGGAGCAAAAGCTCCAGCTCTTTATCTTGGCAGGTGTCTCTATTCTCCTGTGTTCAGGCTTTTGGTTACATCAGTTACTTTTCCTTTTAATGAGCTGCATATATTTCTAACACAGCCTTCAGTGACATCAAGAAAAAAAACTTTTTAATTGTAAAAGACATTATTCTCATTCTAAGAACAAATGAACAAACTGTGTGTGGGTATGTGTGTCCAGTTGCAACTTAACACAGACTCAGAAGCATAGAGAATCTTCTCACAACACCTAATCATCCCTTGATCAAAAAACCAGTAGATAGAATCTTGTCATGTTATTCCATTTAATAAGTAGACGGACGGAGGTATAGTACAAGTTTTCAAGTGTAATGAAGATGATCGCAGGGTAACACAGTTCCCCTTAAATGTTGAGCAAAAATTATGAAACGAGACAAAATTCAAACAATAACATGTAAAAATAAATGGATCTCCTGATAAGTAGGTGCTTCACCTTTAAATGTTTTTATTAGAGCTGGATACACAGGAAGATGCATGTTACTAAACCAACTCTAGCAATGATAGCACATTTACATTTTGAAGAATTGTAGCATAGATGAAGTGAACAGCAGCCTTTTCAAATACATTCCTGGTCTAAAATAAATCAGGCTGACAAAGACTTTAAGGAAATACACAACTATAAATGAATTTAGAAATCTATTTTGGGGTCTATCCTTTAGCATTTCATATTGACAACGGCAAATCCCTTGAATAACAATATACAGTACATTAACCTTAAAATGGACCACTCCTTCACTTTTTAACTTCCTTCCTTCCTGTCTCTTTATTTTCTTTCTTCCTAACTCCCTACCTTCTCTCTCCTTCCTTCTTCACACATGTAATCATCTAGCCTCAAGTAAGTTCTCAACATACTGGACAGTGTGAAGAGATGTGTCCACTCCCAAAAGAGTCTGAATGTTTCAACGGATTAATGTTGTCCTGCAGTTCCAAAATTTCATGATCTGTAAGAGGACTGTCCAGTACAGGGACATTGATCCCAGGATGAGGTTCAGTCATGCATCCATTCTCCTCCCATTCAATCTCTGGTGTCGGTATACCCTGGAAAAGGAAAGTGTGTATGAGCATTGTGCATAATGAATCTCAAGAAAACACATTTAATAAAGCCCTATCATGACCTTTTAACAATTACTTAACATCAATGATTTCAGGCAGAACCTAGCATCTCCATTATTTCATAAATTATTATTTTTTTAATTAATGGGCTACTTTTATGTTAAAACAGCAGTGAGAATATCACATCTGGAAGGTCTAATGCCTTGCATTTTGAACTTGCAGATGTGTCATGACTTTGTAATGTCATGACATTATAGTTGAGTGTCCATTTCAGTAGAGGTGCACACAAACAGAACCGTAATTTCAACAGCCATTTTGTCTTGAATCCAAGAAGCATAGAGCAGAGGTAGATTATCAAAGTGTTGAACATTTGATTTTTAGTTAAGGATCAACTTGACATGTGATCAGTCATTTTAACAGAACATACATTTGCCCCTGGATCAGAAACAGGATTCAGAGCCTGGCCCAGATGCCACAGCTGATTTGGTGTCATGTTTTCCTCTGTCCTGATTGGATGGTTGTCCCACGCATCTCTAAAGACATCCAGGCTGGCCTGGATGCGAGACAAGAAAATATAGTGGCAACAAAACATGTGAAGGATGTTACTGATGTCGAGCAAGTCTTGGTCTTCCAGAGAGTGCAGGATGTTGTAATATAGACCAGTAACACTCATGAAGACATCACGCCACAGGCGCTCGATCCTGGATTTGGAGGGGGATTAAATAAAAGAAAATTATAATATACACACACATTTACATGTCCATACATCCGTTTTCAACTTGAGTTATCTTTTGAATGGTCGCAGGAGGACTGGTGCCTATCTCTAGCAGTCACAGTGTGAGACGAAGGGTGCACCCTGGGCAGGTCAACAGGCACAGGCACGCGCGCACAGACACAAAGCTTCCAAATTAGGTTAAACTCACCGTTGATTGTGTACACTTTTTCCTGCAATGAAGCTGTTGGTGTCAGTTCCACGAACTGAGAACATTAATTATGCAACACCTACATTTTCTCCGCCATGATCTCCTCTCACCATGAAAAAAAAAAACATTAGAATCTTGCTTCAAACATTTTTAATGCACATCTATAACAATCTACATCAATTTGAGTCTCACAGAAATTTCCTTATGTACCTTGCTACTAAGTGAGTAAACAATAAACAATGTGGCATTATTAACCCTCTGCTGGGGAAATATTTTTTGAAAGAGGGAAATGTTCACCCCCCCCCCCCCCCCCCCCATATATTTTACTATATGACCTCAAATGGCATGTTATCTTTGGTCAATAACACACTTTAGGCAAAAGCAGATTTGTAACAGGGTAACAGAGGGTAAAGTTGGGAATAACATGAATACCTCAGAGGAAAGCCATGCTCATTCACAGCTTCGCTGAAGAAGGCAAGGTGGGTGTCTGCCCGGTTGTTGTCAGCTACCTTCAGGTACATGATCTATGTAATTCAAGCACAAACACTCTCATATGACACATTTTTATAGGGGTCAAAACAATCAATTACCAAATGAAAGGTACAACAGCCATACAATAACATGTTAGATAATTAAATAAGTTAAGATCTGTGAAAACCAAAAATAGCAATTATCTTCTATGAAAATATCTCAGTTATTAACGTTCATGCTTTGGAGCAGAAAAAGTGCATGACAAATATTTCAAGCTCAGTTCGCTCCACTCTGATGGTCACCTGTTCCAGCCAGATACCTTCTT